CTTCTTATTGCACTTGCAATTGTTTTAGTTACTTGTGGGCGACTTAACATGAATAATCACAGTGACTATCATTTTACTCCATCACATTTCAAAAATAAATAGGCTATTGTTATTTTAACTCCACCACAGTAATCCGTCATCAGCTTTACTTTTTAGATAAAGTTTTAACTCACAATTGATCATAACAGGCTTCAACATACATTTGTATATATTACCAAGTGGTTTCATGTACAAGTTAACCCACACAAGTATCATGCTTAATGAAGCTCTGTTGCTTGGATATCACTAGATCCTGATGTCAGCGTAATATAAAAGTACATAACGATTGATGTGTGATTTAGCATAATTTACTAGCTAGCTGCTAACTGCCGCCTCGTTCCCGTTCTCGTTCGTTAAATCCAGTACCATGCTGTCATGAACGCGCAGTGCTGTTACGTGTACGCAAATTCACGTGAACGAGCCTTTTGGGCGGCGTGGTTAAAGTTGCGCATGCGCTATGAGCGCACATACGGGTACTTCTCAGGCATGCCGGGTAATCTGTGACGTTTCGCTCTCTCAAAAGTTGGGCCATTTTCTCATCATGCGCTATTGAGCAACTCTCATAGAAATTAATGAGGCCCCGCCTCCCACGCTGTATCCAGTTCTTATTATACATCCATGGGCGTGGTTTGCAATTCGCCCAGCCAATCAGAAATTGGAACCTTTTTCTCCCCAGGAAAGTACCTCAGGGACTAAAAAGGGGGGAAAAGGTTCGCAAAAAAAAGTTCTAGTTTCAGATCTTTTTGGTGTGAACGCAAAATCCGAACGGAACTATTTCTGGGAAAAGTACTCCGGTGTGAAAGCACCTATTGATGCTGTCAAATCACTGATAGACATGAGACACTTCCAATCAAAGATAGAGCTATTTGAGCTTATTAAGGAGCGCACAAAAGCGCAACAATTGTTTGAATGGGACAGCTTAAATCAGCGGCTGCAGGTCAATACGGCCCATTTAAAACGTATTTTCTACAGCTGCTTTGAAATTTACAAATAGAAAAAAAATCTGGAGCGGAGGATGTATCACATATCTCCTGTGAGATGTCAAAGCCTCTCCTGATGGTTAGTAGTGGCTGTAGTTCAGGGTGAGTTTACAAACAACTAGTGTGACGACCTCATTACACCCTGGCTGGCCCTCATTGGCCACCGTAGCGCTAACTCAGCACATTTGGACCACCGCGTGTGCATCATGAGTGACTTATGAAAGGCCCCTTTGAGCCGTTGCATGTCTGATAAACATTTGATTTAGAAAACCATCATGAGACTGTGGAAGAGTGGAACGATGGACATTTCTACCGCTGTGTTCCTCGAAACTCGCACAGATATGCGAGCAAGAGAGGACGTGCACATGCAGGCTCACTCCTCCGCATTTTGTGGTGTAAACTAAAAACCTATTAACATATTTCCTGTTAAAAAAAGAGCGCTGCTGTGGTAGCTGTTAAAGTGAGTCTGGAGAACCCTGTGGTGAATCACGACCTTATCTCCACGGTGGTTTGAACCAGTTTGGAGAAATCATTTCCAGATTTTGGAATGTGAAAGCATCCATGATAATTAGTCCTTCTGCAGCACCTCAGCGGGAAGCCTTTCCTGCAGGCTGCACTGCACTGACACACTTTAAATGCAATCAATCAGGGGGTAAATGGAGACACAAACATTTCCCAGTGTAACCATGGCATCAAAAGAGCCAAACGAGGCTATTCCTTCACTTAGATCGCTGATAACCACTGGACTACACACTATTTCACTTTAGCTGTCCTGACGCCCAACCGCCTCTAATGTATTAGCATTACATTCAGGTCTGTTCTGAAGGTATTTTAAGAATCTGCAAAGACTTCTAAGCATCTACATGAAATATTCCACATGCTGCACGACATGCAAGATTTTGAACCTTAGTTCCTCAAGAAAAATATTTTTTGTTTGTTTTTAAAAGAGAGTAACATCCATGTTGACAAGCATAGGTGATGGACAAATTCTCAAATGTTTGCATCATGTTGAACAGATTGAGTACGGACTGCGGACTTATGTGATTTCCTTCTACCATTTTTGTTTGGGTATGAAAAGTGCTTTTTGTGCAGAAGATGGATTTATTTTGTTATCCAAATGGCACAAGAGTCTTTAAGGAATACAATTCATGAGCTGCAGTTTAACTCATGACAAATTGGGATTTTGTCTCAGACAGAAGATACTTCAAGTGTATTATTCATAAAATACATTCAAATGTAGTCTGTTCTGTAAGTTGAACAAATAATGTAACTGTTCTATTGTCTGAAAGGCAAACCTCAATTATTTTCGTTATCGGTTTATCTGCTGAATATTTGCTTGATAAGTAATTATGTCTATAACATGTCAACAGATGGTGGAATTAAGTCTAGGGAGGTGTCTTTAAATGTCTTGTCAGTCAAAAACCCTGAGAAATTCAGTCTAATATGGTATAATGCAGAGAAAACCCTTTAAAACCGTCATATTTGGAGGCTGAAATAAAAGATCAAATACATTAAACTTAAAAACATCATATTTTGGAATCAGGAGCTTTAGTATTGGAAAACGAAGAAGCTTGCACAAATTAAGATGTACAACATTTAGAAGGCTACGGTATTTTAATGTGACATATTTCATCAATATCTATTTAAATATAAGTATCAGATCAGACTTTACCAAACATTAAAGGTAGGGTAGGTAATTCACTTCAGAAACACTTTTTGTTATATTCCATGGAATGCTCTGAACGTCCCGATAGCAATGAATATATTAAATGCTTTGACAATAAATCCATAAAAAGATTTCATCTGTGGAAGCCGTAGTACTGTAAAAAGCACGACCAATCATTTTACTGGATGGCCTACCTGCCTGTCAGCCTTCCATCTGTGCACAAACTCATCTCGTGCCCTCATTGGTCATGTGCGCGTTCATGTGTGTTGGAGGAGGGGCTCTGTAAGGAAGTCTGAAGGAAGGGGCAGATTGTATACTTTCAAATTCTAGCGCACTCGAGCTGGTTTCTCCATTCTTACCTACCCTACCTTTAAGTACTCGGATCGTGACCAAAGATAAATTAATCAGGACATCCCTACAGCCTTTACAATGTAAAACCTTCTAAAGAAGAAATACGAAAATCCTCCATAAACTCAGTGGCCTTTCTAAAAGATAGCCCCTGATAACTATCCAATACTTGCAGACATAACATCTTCAACTTTTGATATTGCAAATGTTTTCTATTGAATAACCTGCTGCACATCAACAGGAAGCTTTCACTCTCTCTCTGTCCATTAGCCTGTCTCTGATCCTGGCTCTTTAATCCCACTCTGACACTATAGGCGCGTTCACACCGTAGTACTTTTCCCACTTTAGTTCCGATATAGTTCCGAAATGTTGCGTTCACACCAAAAAGAGCCGGAACTAAAATGTGTTCATGAGAACCTTTTCACCCCCTTTTCCGTCCCTGCTAGAGAGCAGGGACTTTCGTGGGAGAAATAGGTTCCTATGTCTGATTGGCTGGGCGGATTGCTACGGAGCCCCCTAGGGGACATGGAGAAGAAAAAAAAAATTATTTGAAAAAATTAAAATTAAAAAATTTTTTTGCGAGATCTCGCAAAACCCCGTTGCAGTTTGTAGACGGTCCCTAAGCACTCCTCTCCCTCCTCCAGCTGCAGATTGTGACCAATTATTGATGTTTAGCTCGGATGACGGCGCGTATAGAACTGTTCTGATAGAAACGACTCTGTAGCTCGTTGTCTACCTTGCTATGATTGTTTGTATTTTTACAACGTTATGTTCATGAGTTATTGATCCGCGAAATTCGAATCTGTCAATAACTCAGCTCAGAGGGACGTGCATGTCCCCTCGCTCTGAGTGTTCTCTTGAGGTGTCTTCACTTATGTGAAACCCTTTATATGTATATGTATATGTATATATGTATATATTTATATAGTCTATGTGTGAAACCCGTGCCTATTGCCAAGCACTGATGTTATATCTTTATATTTAAGGCCAAGCTCAAAGTAAAATCGATGAACCGCTCCATTGTTGTGGTTTCTGTGTGAACTGACCAGGAAGTGCATTGAGCTAAATGAAAAGTATTGCGAGATCTCGCAAAACATTATTATTTTTCTTTTTTTCAAATACATTTTTTCTTTCTTCTCCATGTCCCCTAGGGGGCTCCGTAGATTGCAAACCACACCCCGTAAAACTCCCAAAAAGTGTTGTGAAGCCGCCATTTTATTATCCTCGCATTAGCATTATTAGCATTAGCATTAGCCCAGCGCAGAAACGCAGAGAGACTAACTTATGGCAACACAAAGTAAAACATGGGAGCGGTGGAGATGAGGAGGTGTCGGCGTTCTGGCGATTTACTGGTCCCCAACTCCGATTTACAGTCCCCAACTCCGGGGACTTCCGGCCGGGGACTTTGGGCGGCAGTATACAAGTGGTTTGCGGCCTGCCAGTAAACCCAAAGCAGAAGAAGAAGAAGTGACGTCAGAGGCTTCATTTGCCTAATCCTCCCCCAGGGACTTATTCCGGTGTGAACGCGATCTGTGGTTAACCTTTGTGGGAAAAGTACTGCGGTGTGAATGCGCCTACTGAGATGTTTATCTGTCGACACACCGTGGTCACATAATTCATGAAAGGAGAGAGCATATTCACTGGGGTCCTACAACTCAAATTAGAGATAAATGTCCCCTCTATCCATCAAAAATTATACCTGAGCTGAGAAATAAAGAAATCAAATCATACTCCATCATCCACTGCGCTGAATTGTGAACTAAAAACTAGGATGCCTGCCATTTATGTTCCTCTGAGCGGGATACAATAAATTCCAAACTTGTTTATGCTGTTCCAAAAATCAACTTAATACAAAAGGGGAGCGGAGGACAAAGACATCATTTACCGCGCCCCCTCAGGCAGATAATTGCAAAGATAGTGAGCACCCTATGAACACAGGAAGGGAAGCTGGAGACAATTCAATATACCAAGAGCTTTTGTTGTCCAGTTCCAAGAACTGTGCTGCTGCGCCGCCATTGTCCATCAGCGGAAGAGGATGACTCTTGACAGGTGGAAGCTTCTCCTCGCTGACAATGTGGTCTTGATGTCCCGGAGGAGATCTGTGTCAATCCCTCCGTGTTGTGATACCAGCCGCTGTCCCAGAAGGGGGACATGTCGGGGCATCACACATACATCAAAAACAACAGATGACGAGGGAAAGACTGAACATGGTTTAACTCAGTCACTCTACTACAAAATGTAGCAGGAGAAGGTGTAAAATATGAATTACATCCGTGACATTTTAAGAAAGTCTTGGTTTTTTCCCTGTTACGCCCAGATCTAGGGGAGGTGCAGCATAATATTGCCCTCTCCCAAGAAATGGTAAACGACACAGGAAATCAGCTTTTTGAGATTTAATAACTCAAAAAGAGAACCCCAACATAACAAACAACGTCTTTACAGAGATTCCTTAAACTTGCCTAACAAAACAAATAAAATAAAATACAGGCTTCTTACCTACTCTTACTAGTAAGCAGGAGAAAAAGGTTCAAACATAAACAGGGTTTCTCACTCCTAAACAAAACGTGTCTTGCAAGACAGGTTAACTTAGTTTATCTTTCTAAGATTTCCACACACACACACACACACACACACACACACACACACACACACACACACACACACACACACACACACACACACACACACACACACACACACACACACACACACACACACACACACACACACACACACACACACACACACACACACACACACACACACACACACACACACACACACACACACACACACACACACACACACACACACACACCACACACACACACCACACACACACACACACACCACACACACACACACACACACACACACACACACACACACAATTAAGGCAGAAAGAGAAACACAGGGATTGTAGCCTTTGATTTTTTAGCACCATATAAATAATACATCAACTTGTACTTTGAGAAACTGGAATGAACAGGTTTCACTATTTTCTGACATCTTAAAGACAAAATAACTCAACTACAAAAAATGATCGGCGGGTTAATCGATGATGAAAATAAGATCAGAATAAGACCAAATCAGAGATAAGTGAGACTGCTAGAAGTAGATATGACATGATGACCAAATCAATATCAATAGACATCCTCGATGTATCTATCATTTTCCTCTGTTTTGAGCGATTAGACATTTACTTTCTTTAAAAGAAAGTATTGAGGCTCATCAATGCTACTTTCTAACATGACAGTTCCAGATAACAATGTACATCAACAAGTCATGTTACCCTAAGTTGCATGTGTAGTGATAATTATGGAGCAGGTATCCTAACAAAACTAATTATAGTGACACCACCTCAGGTTATGGCATCCAAACAACTTTTAAACCTCAGACGATCAACTCGAAAGCACCCAAACACAGAAAACCCTCAACAACCTGGCAGAAGCTGTGACTCACAGGAGAGGCTAAAACATGTCCAACATGAATCACAGTCTGATTGAATGGAAAACATGACAGAGAAGCAACTTGTGACAGTTTAGGTTCCTGTTTTATCAGAGACAAACTTGAACTCCTTGCAAGTCAGAGCTTTGGATTTCACCTGAATGAGAGTGAAACACAAGGTTTACATGCCCTCAATGTGGTTCTCATTTCAGCAGTTTGGACTCTGCATGCCATTCTCTAACTCAGTGAAGTGAACATCAAAACATCCCTTTAAAAAGCCCTGAACATATTACAATACAGCCTTTAACTTGGTCATGAATAAAAAGCTGAATGAATGCACGAATACATGTCTGAATTTCCAATTGCTTCATCTTCCTTTCAAAGTTATATTTAAAGCAGTTTAAATGACTAACCAAATAACATTTACACATTGTTGCAGAAAAAGGAGTAATTCATGATTTAAGGTGATTAAAACACTAAGGCTATGGCTAACGTTGTAGACAACCTCACTGTTTTTGACTGTGAAATACGCACATGGGACGTTTGTTATTAAAAAAAGAAAGACACATAGAAATGTTGATGCAAACCGCATGCTCTTTAAAAAGAAACCTGCATTGGCGACATGAGGCGGATGTGTTAACTTACAAAGTTTCAAATCACAAGCTTACAACAAAACCATTTTGATAACCTCTTCATGCAATATATGTGTGTCTTCTACACAGGTTTCGCTATTACAAAAGCCGCGTAATGTCACGTCCGTTTCTTTCACCTAACAAAACGTGTGCCAAACTCAATTGTAGAAATCGTACATTTAAAAGTCTATCACCATCTGCCAAACTTCCCTATAGTGTAATACATGGAATTAAAGCTGTTTCGAGGCAGAGTGATCTTCTGATACAATCGGCATACATGTTATCCAACAAAAACATACAAATATTACAATTTCATCTTAACAATGTGCCTCAATACGTGGTGTTATGGCTATCGCCAACAACTAAGTCACGTTAGCCTACTGTACTGTGGTAGTACAAAATAGTTGACAGAATTACAATTAAATGTACAAAGTAGTAGAATAAAGTGTTTCTTTGTGTGTCAGATGCATGCCGAAATGTTAAGTGGCACCTGACTTCTCTTTAAATAACTTTCTCGAAGTCCCCTGGGGTTTAAAATGTTTCCCGAGAAGCAAACACTGTTAAATATCGAGATTTACGCACGGGCTTCGTGTCTTGATTCTCTGCATGTGAGCACGGCACTCAAACAGGGCTGGAGGTAAAAGCTTGTATTGTCAGCTTATTGTCAACAAATGTCAACTTACTTTCTGTGCAACGCATCCCATCACGAAGAGTAGATATGTTGTCATAAAAGTATGCGCCCCAAGCGACGTAACACAACTCATTTTCCTCTAATTGTTCCTTTTTAATGCGACGCACAGTGAGCCGTATCTCTGCTTCCCTCTCATTCACCTGAAGCGTCGGGAGCGCGCTTCCATCGTTCATGGGCAAACTCGAACAGAGGACCAGAGCCCGAGCTAAAAACTCTCCAACAACCCTGAGCTTTATATTCATTTGAGCAGGGCTGGGAAGTAACTAAGTACATGTACTCAAGTACTGTACTTAAATACAATTTTGAGATACTTCACTTGAGTATTTTCCTTTTATGCCACGATTTAAGTTGATGAGCAGTATATGACACTGAACTTACTTACATCTTATTTTGAGAAAAAGTAATTTAAAAATGTAATATTCAGTTGAGTGGATTGTGGGAACCATTGTAGCTAGAACAATAAGGAATCATAGCCTCTTACCAATCCTTATGGTCAATGGTGTAAAGTAACTAATTACATGTACTCAAGTACTGTACATTTTGAGACACTTTACTCGAGTAATTTCATTGTATGCTACTTTGTACTTCTACTCTACTACAATTCAGAGGTAAATCGTGTACTTTTACTCCACCTAATATAATTACTTGGCAGATTTTGTAAATTCACAAGCTACCCTGCAGTATTAATGAATGAATGAAATGAAGTATGTACAATGATTTCATTCAGAGATATATTTCAAATTGTTTTAAGCAGTTTGGAAGTATAACATGGTGGCATTTCACAAGCATTTCTAAAGACTATAAGCATATCCCATGTAAATATATTTGGAGCCTCATAATCATCATGCAATTAGCTACCTTTTTTTGTACTTGTGTCAAGTAGAGTGGTTGACCATCCCCAGTGTAATTGCACGTTTTAATGCAAATGTGAACTTGTAAATGTGTCTAAGGTTAATTCAAAGATATCAAGTTTAGAGTCTGAGCTACTTCTTTCGGGAAAATTCTTCCATAACCAAAAAGAAATGGCAGATAATAAACTATCAAAGCCAAAGACTTAAACAGCAGCCATGCCACAGGCAGAACGTTCAAAAATAACCAAAGAACTTTCCCCAATAATCACCTTTACAGGCTTAATTTCACAATATCATAAAACATAAGAAAACATGGCTATGGTATAGGCTTGCTCAGCTGCTATTACACAATTCATTAAAGAGCCGTCCTGAAGTCAAGCTATGTATTTAATAAAGCACAAGCCTTCATTCCTGGAGCTTTAATTTTCTCACACCTGAACGAAATACCTTTGTCAATGACTTTACAGAATGTGACTAGGTGTGGTGGATCCACAGTTTGATCTCACTCCAATGTAGCACTCCTTCAAACACCCACACTCAGGATCAGATTGGCATCCAAGCTGTTTAACTCCAAATGTGAGTTGACCTTTAGACAAGCCCTAAAATGACAAAACTAGCAAATTAATTAAGTGAAACGCAGAATAATGCCGGAGAAGATATCTAAATATGTGATTTCCAATTAAAGAATGCTGTTGGGTAAACAGACTGGAGATATACATTAATAACCTTTGGTCGCAGGATAAACAAAACAATCTTGGAGGATATTGATGAGGTTGTTCTGTTTTCAAACCTTTCATCATGGCATTGTTGTAGCTACCACTAGATGACACCAAAGTACGACAGTGTGAAAACCCACACACTGGCTTTAAAGGTCCCCCATTATACTGTTTTACATCAATATATTACAGATCTCAGATACAGAACATGTCTCTGATTGGCTGAAACACCAAACAGATCATTGCAGCATTACCCATAATCCCCTCTGTTTCAGCCCTGTTTCCAAAGTGCTGATTCTCTGTCTGTTACTTTAGATGAAAATAAGGAGCCCCTCCCCACACCCCTCTGAGAGAGATCTGGTTAAAAAGAACTCAATGGTGCTCTGAGGAGATTCAGGTGATAAGGGGGGGGGGGGGTTACCTTGGTTGCTGATTGGCTAATGGCTACACAAGCCAACACATCGTTATGACATCATAAAGTGGCCAAAATCTGATCAGCTCATTTTCAGACAGGTTTTTATAGAAATTGATCAAAAAGAGAGAGAATCTTTGTTCCTGAAACTTTCAGAGTCTCTTTCCACAGAGGGGACACATGTTGATGTAGAAGAGACATGAAGAAGAGGGGACACATGTTGATGTAGAAGAGACATGAAGAAGAGGGGACACATGTTGATGTAGAAGAGACATGAAGAAGAGGGGACACATGTTGATGTAGAAGAGACATGAAGAAGAGGGGACACATGTTGATGTAGAAGAGACATGAAGAAGAGGGGACACATGTTGATGAAGAAGAGACGTGAAGAAGAGGGGACACATGTTGATGTAGAAGAGACATGGAGAAGAGGGGACACATGTTGATGTAGAAGAGACATGAAGAAGAGGGGACACATGTTGATGTAGAAGAGACATGAAGAAGAGGGGACACATGTTGATGAAGAAGAGACACGAAGAAGAGGGGACACATGTTGATGTAGAAGAGACACGGAGAAGAGGGGACACATGTTGATGTAGAAGAGACATGAAGAAGTGGATTTTGCATAATAGGTCCCCTTAAATTATTTTAAAATCAAACCTTTTTATTAGAAACGTTCATTTACCTTGGCCTTTTTGTTTGCATTAAAAAGTGCACAAAAGACTCCCATTAGTTTACTTTCATCGGAGACACAAATTCAAAAAAAGTCCTGTACCTTTGTGTATGTTTCTTTTTCAAAGCAGCAAACAGAACATTTTTATCCCCATTTGCAAAACATTTTTTTGTTGCAAAACATTTTTCCGTTAAAATGTTTTATATAAAAAAAAAAATGTAATTCTTATTTTTATCACTTTAATTTTTTATTTTAGTAAAAATCCTATTAAATATATTTTTATAGTATTTTTCAAGTGCGTTTTTATGATTGTATTATATTATCTTTTTTTTATTATTGTTTAATTCATTTAATAATTTCTTTTTTTCTGATTTATATTTTATTTGAATTGTTATTTTATATTATTATGTAAAAAAAATGTGTGGGTCATTTAGTTGTCGTAAAACGTCTTATTTCATTAGGGTGGTCCTTAAAATTGACCACCCTACGTGAGTGTATTGTATATTATTGATACGTCAACATTTATAACAATTGTACTTTCAATTGCTTTCAATTGCCGGGCTGGCCAGCTTTAGGAAGACGCCCCTCCCCCCCGCACCTCCGAGGGACATACAAAACAAATGGCCCCAAAAAATAAATACAATTATATTAAAAATAATTAAAACAATAAAAATAATAAAAATATTTAAAAACTTTAAAGAAATAATAGGGTGGTCCTTAGTGCCATGTACATTTTCGAATTCATTTATTCTAAGCTCCAACCACCGGAATCTGTTATGATAGTCAAGAAAACTCTCCTGGTGAATTTTATTCAAATTCCAACAACATTTACCCCTCCCTCATCAACCTTGAAGTTTAGCCTCAGTAGGGTGGTCCTTAAAATTGAATTCATTCTATTAGTCAAGAAGACTCTGATGTTAGTAAAGGAAAACATGTTCTGCTTGGTTGCCTTGTATGTAATAATACAAGGCAACCAAGCAGAACAACACTGTTTGGAAATTAATACATATATATGTGTGTTAGTAAACATAGATGTAGAAATACATTAAAGATGTTTTATTCTCAACTTATATTTTTTTATTTATACATTTATTTGTTTTTCTAGTGTTTATTTATTCCTGTATTTATTTCCACATTTATTTATTTATTGCTGTGTTCATTTTTTTTTCTTGCATTTATTTATTCCTGTATTTATTTCTAAAAAAAAAATGTTCACATTTATTTCTTCTTCTTTTTTTAAATTCCTGTATTCATGTCATGCTCTGTCATCAATACAGAGCATGACTGTGCTGTTCATTCTGTGCGTAAAGGATCAAATTCATTCAAAATCGCATCAAGACCTATTGGACATTCATGATTTTTAAAGGTCCCCTATTATGCAAAATCCACTTCTTCATGTATTTTCTACATCAACATGTGTCCCCTCTTCTTCATGTCTCTTCTACATCAACATGTGTCCCCTCTTCTTCATGTCTCTTCTACATCAACATGTGTCCCCTCTTCTTCATGTCTCTTCTACATCAACATGTGTCCCCTCTTCTTCATGTCTCTTCTACATCAACATGTGTCCCCTCTTCTTCATGTCTCTTCTACATCAACATGTGTCCCCTCTTCTCCATGTCTCTTCTACATCAACATGTGTCCCCCCTTCTTCATGTCTCTTCTACATCAACATGTGTCCCCTCTTCTTCATGTCTCTTCTACATCAACATGTGTCCCCCTCTTCTTCATGTCTCTTCTACATCAACATGTGTCCCCTCTTCTTCATGTCTCTTCTACATCAACATGTGTCCCCTCTTCTTCATGTCTCTTCTACATCAACATGTGTCCCCTCTTCTTCATGTCTCTTCTACATCAACATGTGTCCCCTCTTCTCCATGTCTCTTCTACATCAACATGTGTCCCCCCTTCTTCATGTCTCTTCTACAATCAACATGTGTCCCCTCTTCTTCATGTCTCTTCTACATCAACATGTGTCCCCTCTTCTTCATGTCTCTTCTACATCAACATGTGTCCCCTCTTCTTCATGTCTCTTCTACATCAACATGTGTCCCCTCTTCTCCATGTCTCTTCTACATCAACATGTGTCCCCCCTTCTTCATGTCTCTTCTACATCAACATGTGTCCCCTCTTTTTCATGTCCCCCCCCCCACCTTATCACCTGAATCTCCTCCTAGAGCACCATTGTGTTCTTTGTAACCAAATCTCTCTCAGAGGGGCGTGGGGAGGGGCTCCTTATTTTCATCTAAAGTAACAGACAGAGAATCAGCACTTTGGAAACAGGGCTGAAACAGAGGGGATTATTATTATATATATATATATTATTATTATTATATATTATTATTCTGAGCCCATAGATTATGGGATGCTGCAATGATCTGTTTGGTGTTTGGAGCCAAACACTTCAGAGACATGTTCTGTATAATAGGGGACCTTTAAAACACATTGGCTTTGATGCCCATGGTAATGATAATGAAAACCCTCACAGATTTACCAAGTAGAAAGCATGGATTGATTAATAATGGGGATGTAATGCTTTGCTCAAAGGTTACAGTTACATGCAAAAACCCCATCACAACAGAGCTTCGGTCATTTCATACTTCAAGGGCTTTTATGCAGCAATCAAATTACTAATTTGATTACTGCAAATACTAATTTGTTGTAAGAGTAACTTTTTTAAATGGTGGTCTTCCATACCCTGACTGTGCCTCCCTCTGGGGGGGCTTTACGGTAAGGACAAGGAAGTGGGAGAAAACACAGTGCTACCCTTTTCACAGTTCTTATTTTTATTCATTTATTTATTCATTCATTTATTTATTTCCATATTTATTTATGCATTTATTTATTCTAGTATTTATTTATTTACACATTTATTTATTTATTTCCTAATTTATCTAGTCTATTATTTATTCCTGTATTTATTCATGTATTTATTCATACATTTATGTATACTTATTTAATAAATACATTCCAAATCATTAAAAAAGAGGCACTCGTGGTTGTTGCAGTTGCATGGAGTGTAAGGTGCAGAGAGGTGAGACTCTTTGCATATTTTACATTTGGGTTGTTTCCATGACCCCTATTTGAATAAATTAAACACATCCTAAAAAGATATAGTCAATGCATGGCACGTTTATTTACGAAGCAATTATGTCAAAACAATGCAATCCAAAAAACAAACGTATTAGGACATAGTGCAACAGAATCCCATTAGAAAATTACATTTACATGACCTTTACATTCATTCAAAGCAGTCATTTTTAACTGTAAAGCGATTTTTTCCCCGTTTCCATCCATACTTTCTTGAATATTCAACATGTTGCTCACATGCGAAAAATGTGGAACGTTAATGCTGTTCACGTCGATTGGTCGATTAATTCCAGAGTCGTCATAGTGCGACGTTGTGATTGGCCCGCTGATCAATCAATCACCAAAACGCCGGTCCTGTAGGCGGGGCATCGGTTGGTTTACCGCTGTGGTTTTCTTCAAGATGGCGAGGCTACATCAGTTGAGGCAGTATGGCGGCGCATGGAGAATACAATAATTTAGAAAGGTAGTCAGGTGCCCAAAAAGAAGACAGCCGTCTCATTTTAATTGGTGAGTATTTCTCTAATAAGCGGTTTTTTTGGGCTGGCTGACCAACGGATATGTGTGTGGCTGCTTGTTAGCATATTAGCATGGATGTTAACTAGGGGCCCGTTGTGCAGCTGCAGAACAGACGAGGCTTGTATCCATTTGTATTGCCTTTTATCTACCTGTTATTCGAACTTAGATACTCGTATTCCCCGGAATAATAAACCATATGTTTATTTTCCTTTATTCAAGAAAGAATATATGCAGTGGTGTAAAGTAACTATGTAGATTTACTCAAGTACTGCACTTAAGGACCATTTTGAGAGAATTGTACTTCAAGTGAGTATTTAAATTGCTACTGTGTACTTCTACTCCACTACAGTTCAGAGGTAAATTGTGTACTTTTACTTCACGACATTTATTTAATAGTTAATACATTTTGTTACTCTACTACAACTGAAGTAACATCCACACGCTGCTAATACATTTGTACTTTTACTTGAGTAACATTTTGAATCCAGGACTTTTACTTGTAACCGAGTATTCCTACACTCTGGTACTTGTACTTTTACTCAAGTACAAGATCGGAGTACTTCTCCCACCTCTGTATATATGTATTATCAAACATTATATACACACACACACACACACACACACACACACACACACAACATTGACATGTGGGTTACATAGGTACATATACAGAGTAAATAAAGACAGAAATGTAAAGAAAATATTGATTTAAAAACAATCTACATTTCAAGTAAAATATTTATAAAATAATAAAAGGTTTTGATTAATTTTAACTATTTGTAATTATGGTGCCATATTGATGTTATTCTAAGCACACATGTGCCTAAGCAGTTTAGAGTCAGTCCATGTATTCTTGTGAATGAGAAATGTTCCCCACAAATAAAATTAGCTGTTTACAAAAAACAATATTTGTATAAAATCGATCACTTTTAAAGTGTATCGCTTGTCCCATTTTTCTTTTATGACTCAACATCAGTCAAGGCATTTTAGAGTACAACAGTGATCGAATAAATGACATATTCTCTTCATGTAAATAAGAAAAATTACAAGAATATTCTATATACATTTCATATCTCTCTAGTGTCTTTTAAAAACCCATATGTTACGTTCAAACGTTGAATATTGTTTAACTGACAGCTAACGTTCCTCTCACTTGTCCTCTTTTGCAGCTTCCAGAAGATTCAAGTGGAGGATGATCAGTGCCTCGATCCCATATTAAGCTGAATGCATTGTGATTTCCAATAATTGAGACAGTGATTCTGAAAGCTGTCTACATTAATGAAAAGAACAATGTAGACAGCTTAGCAATTTCACCTCTGGTACGTGGTCTATACAGGGATGTGCTTCTGCATGCTGCATTCTGGGTTCAGATAGGAAGAAAGTGTCTTAAAACAGGTCAGATTTTTGAATAAATTATCAGTGCGTATAAGCTGTAGTTCGTTATTCAGTGGAAATGGAGATAGACGATGTGCTACCCCCTCTCCCCTTGGATCCACCTGGTTTTTTTGACCTAGATGAGGGCATAGCACCTCCACCACCTCCCCTGCAAACGTCCAGTGACGCAGAGGTAATGGACGTTAGCTCTGGTGGTGATGGACACACAGACACCCCAGGGGAAGGGGAAGCCATGGCACAGCAACCCCTCGCTAAGGGCTCCATCACTTTCTGTAGCCACCTCTCAGACGAGGCCATTCCCAACCCTCAGTGCCCCAGAACAGCCCGTCACGCCCCCCCCAGTCTCCGGGTTCCTACCAGACCTCAAGCTGCTCAGAGATGTTAAGATCCGTGTGAGCTTCACCGAAAGCAGCAGTAGCAACATCAACAGCAAAGACAGGAAGGTTTTGTACACAGGCGAAGGGCAGGAGGCAGGAAGTGATGATGGTTTAGACAGCATGAATGGTGAGATGCATGACTCGGGTGAGGGAAGCTCTGGAGCGGGAAACTTAGCAGGCAGGAGATCAGACGAGTCCGAGGTAGACATGGAAAACAAGGTAGAGTTCGCCGTCCTGGATGAGCTGGACGACTACTACGAGAACTTCCTGGATCATGACGACACGGAGCATGGTGGCTTTAAGTCTGAGGGCATAGCGCAGCAGGATCAAGCAGATGAGGAGACCGTGACTTTCGCCTATGAGGTATGTCTGTTTCTATGTCTGCAGTAACCCATGCGATTGTCAGCTACACACACACATGTTGTCCTTTAACTGTCGAACAGAAATATTGTAAGCCTATTGCAGTTCATTTAAGACAGGGCATTATTAACACTGTCATTTCTGCGAGACCACTGCAGTGGCAAAGCGGTTGTGCAGACATGGCAACAAAACGACAAGGTTGTCCAGTTTTCAAATGTTAATTTTGCTGCAGTACAACATGGAATCTACCTTGCCTGTAAGAACCTTGAGTATTCAGCTGGCCTGTTTATCCTTTACATGTTGTGTTGTACGTTTATAGTAATGCTTTTGGGGGAAAATAGCACAAACTGAAAGATTAAGTATAGCTAGAAGTACTTTTCTAATGTTATCCTAATTTAATACTGCACCACTCCTGGTTAAGTTGGGATACATTTAAGCTGCAGGAATTTAGATACATGTTTGTTTTTTATTACTGAAAATGAGAAGTGAGATGCTGGAAGAGGTTAGTGACATTTTTTATTCCTCCCATTACATTTGGGGTTTTCTTTTGATGCAAAAATCAATCAATATGAATAGAGAGGGGATCGAAGCTTCTAAAATAATGACATTCAATTTGTAGGGGTTGACATCAGTCCAATATGGTCTGTCTCTGTCTGGAGTATTTTACTTTTAAGTGGGGGACTGATGATTTTTAAATGTTGTTTTTGTTTCTCCGTCACATGAGGCTAAGCTGACGGAGGCCTGTACTACGAAGACGGATTTTCGCTTAGCGAGCTAACTTCAGGGTTAACTCTGGGTTTCCGGTCCTACGACGCTGGTTCTCTTCTTACCGGGCTAGATCTCCATGGTAACTTATGCTGAACGGCAAACCAGCTACGGAGCAGGTTTGGTTCCAGGATAAGAGCTCAACTCAGTGAAAGCACTGCCTGCTGACCAATCAGAGCTCCGTGTGCGGAGTTTAAAGTAGTGTTAATTTCGTTGACTAAAACTATGACGAAATATGTTCGTCAACGACCTTTTTTTCCATGACGAAAACGAGACGGCACCGACGGCAGTAAACAATAACTGTGACGAAATCATCATGCAATATCGTTGACGAAAAGTGACGAGACGAAAATGTAGTTCACTAAATAAAAACTATGCCAAAATCTCTCTTTACTTTCGTTGACGAAAAATAAGACGAAATATTATCAAAGATAACGTTACATTTCTGATAGTCAGTTTTTCTCCCAGCAGTTCCATTTCCGGTGCAGCGGCAGGGCAGCAGCTGTGTGTCTGTGCTGCGCGAGGCGGTACATTTGAATTACACCGGGCAGCGGCACAATATGAACTGTCAGGAAGACTCGGGTCTAACTCATGGTCTCACTCATGGTCTAACTCATGGTCTAACTAACCTTATTTAACAGAAAATAAAATGGCAACAACAGGGCTTGGTGGTGGCACTCGCGTTAACCGAATACCCCCCGTCAGCGCGAGTGAGTGATAAATTGTGCACTCGACGGGTAATAATGGATTATGACGGAAATGTTACGATCCTGTCCGTCAAAATGACTGACAACGAAAAAGTCTAAAGCCACCACTGCTTGGGAGAAAGAAACAACGTGATATTTGGGCCCATTTTCGCTACAATGAGGCGGAGAAAAAAAGTGAATGCATTGTTTCATCAGAAGGGAAGCAATGTGGCCATAACACAGCTGGTAAACACACCACAAACCTGAGCAGATACTCTCTGCAAAGCTTCTTAATCATTCAACCTGTGTTTTTCATCAAATAAGGACAAGATATCATCTTATTTATATATATATATATATATACTAAAATGACAAATTATTGGTTTTGGCTAGACTAGTTTGACTGAAATGTTCTATATAATCTGATGACTAAAAAAGACTCAACAGTTTTCATTGACAAAAAGTAAACTCAAATAATTAGTTTTCTTCGACTAAAATAAGACTAAAATGCTCAGACTTTTAGTCGACTAAAACTTGACTAAATAAAAATGGGATGAAGGTGACTAAATATGACTAAAACTAAAAAGGAAATTTAACACAGGACTAAAACTAAATAAAAAAAATAGCTGACGAAATTAACCCTAGTTTAAAGCGATCAAGTCATATTACAGGAGAAAGGAAATACAGAAAAACTGCCGTTGCAGGAAAGATGGCCGGCAAAAATCAACTGACTGTGAAAATTAATAGTATCACCTCCATCTTCAGAGCAATCTGACAAATGTAACATTAGCGTTAAGAAAGCTTACTTAAATATCTGCCATAAGTTAACATAAGTAACCGGATCAAAGTAACATTACGTACAGTCAGCGGCACTGTGAATGCAGACGTCGATGTGTCCCATTTTCATTCATATCACATCATAATGTATCATATTTCCTTATCTGAGTCAGCTGAGCCGTATCTGGCCGTGCAACACTCACAGTGTCACAGACTGTATGCAGAAGTATTATTTTAAGCTACACATTAGGTTGACGTAACACTCGAGACAAATGTAATTTAAAAGTCAGATCCACTCGTGTCTTGGACGGGGCAGTGATATCATAAACCTGTTAATGTAAGCATTCAAACACTTGTTCTGTTACCAGCTGTATTCACCTTGCAGGTGCAGCTCTGTGGCTTTTATCCTGGATAAAATGTTTAAGTCATGGATGTTTAAAGTTTAACTTCTTAATATTTGTCTAATATTATAGTTCACTTTTCATTCAGGAAGTATGACGCTGCGCTGTCAGTATGCATGTCCATGTTTGTGATTGGTCAAATGTTGCTAACCCCGCCCCTTTCATGTGAACGAGCACTCAGCCGGACAGAGAAACCCTGGCTTGAGTTACCGAGTTGATAACCAGCGTCGTAAGACCGCTTAGCAAGAGTGCATTTGTTTTGGGTTAGTTAAGCCAGATAACTCAAACATATCCAGGGTCTGTTGAACTGGATTCGTAGTATAGGCCCCTGGACTCTAGTACAGGCCTCTGGTGACCCAATCTTCTCTCCCGGCCTTAACCACTCACTCTTCCAGGAGGAGTTTGACAACGATGTGGACGCCTTGCTGGAGGAGGGCATGCCTGTCCCTAAAAAGATGCGTCCGTCAGAGGACAAATATGGCGGGGAAAGTGATCACCCGTCAGACGGAGAAGGAGGGGTTCAGCCCATGATGACCAAAATTAAGACTGTCCTGAAGAGTGAGTGGTGGATCTGTCTGCGTTTGTTTCTGGTTCCATCAAATAATCATGGAGTGCAGTTTCAGTACTTTGGGGCACAATACTATATGATATTCAAAATAGTAAAGAGTCAAAGTGACCTGTCGACATACATTTAGAAAGTCCTAAATTATTTTCTTTCTGCACATTTTAATTGAAATGCGCTCATTGTTCAAAACTCTGCATAATAGTGATCAAATAATTGTTAAAGGTGTGTGACCTGACCTATGACATGATCTGATGCCGTATCCAAATACATGAACTTGTGTGTGCAACAACTAGATAAATGTTTCCGCTCACTTCTTTTTCGGTAATCCAACATTGATATTCAACTATTAGGTGACACAAAGTTGAATTAATGATGTTCCTACATAACTACATTTTCCCGCCACTGACGATCAGGCTCCTTGGATAGAATAATCCACCATTCATGGTCACCGCCTAGTGTGAATATCTCTCAACTGATATGAATGGAGAGATATTCAGTTATGCATTAAAAGTATTAATTAGCACCTGCTTTTTTGCATTTCCCCCCACGCCAGGTCGTGGGCGCCCCCCCCACTGAGCCCCTCCCAGACGGATGGATCATGACATTCCATAACTCGGGCATTCCCGTCTACCTGCACAGAGAAACCAGAGTGGTGACCTGGTCCAGACCCTACTTCCTTGGCACTGGCAGTATTAGGGTAAGATGCAACACAAGTGTCTTTATAAGCTTCCTACATTACACACGTGAGCATCAAGTTGTTTGCATGGATCCTGTGGCGGCTCAATTTCCCATTCGATTTGAGTCGCCGAGAGGCCACACTGAAGTTAGATAGTTTGACGATATTTAATAAACAAAATCAAAACACAGTAACTTTAGGGACAAAACGGTCAACAGAAAAAAATGTCGGCACAAGCTCACCCTCTGTCATCCGCACTCGACATGAAACAGGTGACATAAATACACAAACCACACCCATGTGATAATTAACGGAAGTGCTCAACAAATACAAATTAAAGTGACGTAAACAAATAATAATAATACAAATAATAAACTCAGGCTAGGTAGCATTTTGGCTCCTACAGATCCTATTAGTTGGCTGCACCAAAGGGTATTTATTATAAGAAATGCTGTAGTTCATTAGACCAGCACACCTTTCAGCAGATTAGGCGGTCCCATCGTTTAAAAACAAGTTTATATTTTATTAGAAAGGTATGTGAACATTTAAAATAAATCATCCCAGTCAAAACCTGTATTTACTGGATTACGGAAAGACTTTAGTGATTCTCTCTCAGTCTTCTTGCCACCATTTTAAGATGTGGTGCTTAGCATTGTTGAGCAAACCCACGGTAACAATCTGATGGCATCCTGTTTCATACATCTCAAATGTATTTATTCTATTCCAAACAGTGAGCATTTCATAAGACGCTACGATTAAGTCGACAATGGCTTCAAATTCACCACGGTTAACATTTTGTAACAACTCTTGGGGTCTTCTTTCCTGGTACAGAAACACGACCCTCCGACCAGCAGCATCCCTTGCCTTCACTACAAGAAGATCAAGGCTGTGGAGGAGAAGGAGCTGAATGGGGAGGTGACCCAAAATGTAGAGGTGACCCAAAATGTAGAGGTGACCCAAAATGTAGATGTGACCCAAAATTTAGAGGGCACCCAAAATTTAGAGGGCACCCAAAATTTAGACGAGACCCAAAATTTAGACGTGACCCAAAATGCAGAGGAGACCCAAAATGCAGAGGAGACCCAAAATGCAGAGGAGACCCAAAATGCAGAGGAGACCCAAAATGCAGAGGAGACTTCTGTCAAACCAGTTGATGAGACCAATGGTGAAGTGATGGCCGGTCCCTCTAAGGCTCCAGCTGAGGAGCAGTACATTATCCCTCCCTTCATCGTGATTGACGGGGTCCACGGGGGAGGAAGTACCCCCAAAATAAGCCTGGCGTGTAAAAGGCCTCACGCATTTGACACTGCACAGGGAGCATTGGGACAAGTGAGAGCTAAAGTGGAGGTGTGCAAGGACGAGTCCATAGGTAAGAGCTTTTTATATTACATGTTTTGCCGTATTTTTTTCTCAAAGCGTGCAGCCCTTCCAGTGATAGAAGTCGTTGTTGTGTTTTTGCTGCTGTAAGACTTTAAGGCAGGAGTGTCCACACTTTTTTCACCGAGGTCCACATAGAGAAATATACGAAGGGCTGGGCCGCTCACTAGAGGTATATCACCTCATAAGTGCAGTTATAAGTTAGCAAAATCAATCAAATGTAGGTACATGATGCTCGTGGGTGTTAGCAGCTCATCCCTTAACACAGAAGCCTCAGAGTGATTATAATAAGGAGAAATATGAAGGTTGTATTTCAAGCTTGTTATGTAAATAAGTCATTGGGCTTTTTTCTTATCAACTAAGATATGTAAGTATGTTTCCAACTTTAATCGAGTGAATTTATTTGAAAAGTGGTCTCATTACCACATGAATACTACTGTGCAGAGTTCGCGTTAACCGAATATTTTCTGCCTGAGACGGATTTTTTTTTAACGATGATGGAAAAATCTGAAAGCAGTTTGTTTATTTTGACGGATTAGAACAAACTCGGAACAGCGCCACAGCTTCCCCGCAGCGAGGCTCCGGTGTTATGCCGTGTTATGCATGCCCGCCAAAAAGGAAATGATACCGTTTCCAAACCTAACTTTGCCAATCAAATCATTGTGTGCGCTCCTGTGAGGTAGGTTTGTACCCGAATATTCGTTCGTTGGAGTACTATTCGGATTTACATTTTGTTATTCGTTTTGTTTGTTTTTCCCCCGTTTTTTTTTCCAAATTGAATTTATTGAAATCTCCAATCTCAACGTAAGAGCTTGTTCGGGGGGTGCTAACACTTAGCCATAAACGTTATTGTTTACTTTCTCCGTCTTTATATGTAGATATTACTTTTCTCCGTTAATCTCCGTCACGTTGTTTCCATAGCAACAACAACAACTTCCTGTCAGCAGCGCTAACTCTCCTTCAAAATAAAAGCATGTCCATAAATAGGAAGCCAAGCCAAATTACACTTAAGACATACAACTGCAACTAAAGTAACAAACACAATGCGATAAACTTTTCAATTTCAAAGAACACAAATTGGGTTAATAACTATAAAACAACAATACTGTAGAATAACAAAATGAATGCCGTGAATACACCGAAATACACGTGTTGAAGCGGTTCGCTGCTGATCGATTCAAACGGGCCGTAGTTTGGACACCCCTGCTTTAAGCTGTTTCTCATTAAAGTGTTTATTGATCTTAAAACCTCCTCGCAGACATTGACGAGTTCCGGATTTACCTGGAGAAATGCTTTGACTTTGAACAAGTCACGGTGAAGAAGTTTCGCACGTGGGCCGAGCGACGGCAGTTCAACAGAGACTTGAAGAGGAAGCAGGCGGAGTGTGAGCGGCCCATCCTGCCCGCCAACCAGAAGCTCATCACTCTGTCGGTGCAGGACGCGCCCACTAAGAAAGGTAACGCTTATATGGAGTCAAATCAACATTTATTATATCCCCAAATCACGAGAAACGCCTCAAAGGGCTGGTCGAAGCAAAGACAGTCCTGTTTTAAGGTTATTATAGATAATAGGGCTGCACAATTCATCTAATTGCAATATAAACTTAGGGCAGTCCTACAAACGGTATTCTTGAGACTTTTTAAATAATCCTTATAATATAATAAACAGATCCTTTTTTTTAATGACTATGATCATTTTAATATATTCTTTAAATATGTAGTTAATGTTTAAAAATGATCACGCACTCTTAGGGATGGGTCGTAAAGGTTTAACGGTACTACTACTTTTATCGATACCGCTTATCGATCCGGTCTTTTAACAATACTCTTATCGGTTCTTTTGGAGAAAAAAGTTAGGAAAATAAAATAAATAATATTTCGCATCAAAAGAAACAACAACGTTTTAACAAATCGTATTAAATAATCTGATGACAGAACTGTGAACAGAATAGCTGAAACTTTAACAAAATAAATAACTCAGTTTCCTCTAATCATTAACCCATGTTTGTATCATGTAGTTAACTCCGTGTGTTGCTGCTAGCATACATAACACCTGACGTGGAAACGTTACTCGTGGATGGGGCTACAGAGCTGCTAGAAAGACAGTGGAACCCGGTGCATTCCTCCGTCTGGATGTGGAGCACTTTTGATAAATGTTTAGACAAATTGCTTCTTGCTAAACTCTGATTGCACTTTTGGCAACGAGCATCGAGACGGGTAAAGTTTAACCAAACCTCGGAGCGTGTGTGTGTGTGGCCCCGCCCCCTCGCACACAGACGGGGGGGGAGAGATCTCGCCTGGATTGGAAAGATCAAAAATACTAAAAATAATCATAGACGCACGTTTGCAGTCTTTTTGCGTATTAGAAACGAGTTGGCGACACTAAGACTGCAATATAATGTTTGTGTAGCAATAATACATATGACATATAATTTTGACATGTCTCCAATACCGATAAAAAGACCGATAACGTCAGAGCTTAACCACGGTCTTTAATAATTCAGCCCCGGGGCCCGTTTACTACCGGGGCTCGGCATCCATTCCTACTCACTCTCATTTTAATCGCAATTGCAATATCAGTCAAAGTAATTGCATCCTTTAATCGTGCAGCCCCAATAGGTAACAAATGAAATCAATAACAACAACAAAAGGTTTACCCCTATATTGTCTGTGTAGCCTTACTATAACTTATTTCATTTATCTAAAATCACATTGTAGTTGCATGTAGGCTAATGCATTGTAATGAACATGGCAGTATAATATTATTTGTTGCCTGTCTCTCGATCTCTTCCTTTGGTCGTGACTCTTCTGAAGTGTAATGACAGGAAGTTGCTAATTGCCAGCTTTCGATCAATTAGCAAAAGTGTTGAAATCTAAATCAAGTGCAGGAAACTTCCAAAAGCCTTTACACCAATATGTACTTTTTTCAAGTATTACATTTGTATACCAATCCTGTGAAAGCTGCCCCTTTTTTTAATAAGTGTGTTGATGCATTGTTTTTTATTTTCTATTGTAACAGAATTCGTCATCAACCCTAACGGGAAGTCTGAAGTTTGCATCTTGCATGAATATATGCAACGTGTCCTAAAGGTTCGACCTGTTTACAACTTTTTTGAATGTGGTAAGTTCAACTTTTTACTACAATTTATCTTTTAAGAGATTTCATTATTTAAAGCACGTTGTCAATTTTGCCTCGTATAACATATGGCGCATTTCCACTGCAGCACGGTTTAAGCGTGCCGTGCCCGGCCCGTTTTTGGTTGTTTCCACTTGGCGTAGTTCCGGCTAACGGGTACTTTTTCACAGTTTTTCTGGCCCTCCAAAATCATGGTTCTTTCCGGGCCAATAACCGGGCTGAGTCGGGCTGAGTATGCTAAACTAGAGAGAATCGCTGGCAAGGGGGCTACAACTACAACAAGATGAACATATTTGACCGTGAATTAATTGTAATACACGTTTCAAAATGATGCCGAAGTAACAACATACTGATACCGGTTAGTAAAAACCATGAATTAATGCTTTGACAAGTCTGCAGACAGACGGCAGGCGAAAAACCCTTTTAAAATGCGTGTTTTCTGAATGGAGCTTGGCTAAGCTAACGCAGTATATGCTCCGACCGTCCACACTCACAACAACGACCTATACAGACATAAATAAACCAGCGACTGTATTCGCCATGACATAGGCAGTCTGTGGTTTGTACTTGTTTAACTTTTGTCAAGTTTCTGAACAGATATGAAGAGCTGTGAGCTCTGAGGGCTAACAGCTGATGTTTTGGTTTTGTGGTTCGCATTGAAGATGACGTCACGGCTCCGCCTACACTGCGTTACTATAGTTACTGCCCCAACTACTAAACTGTAATGGAAACGCAGCATTAAGTGAGCCTGGCCTAACTGTACCGTACTAAGCCGAGCGAGGCCCTGCAGTGGGAATGCGCCATTAGTGTCTCTGGTATATATCGTGACGTGTTCATCTGCTCATTCTGCCGTCATTTTCATTACACCCTCAATGTGCACAGCAGAAATGACTATCTCTTTTTTAAGGTAAAGATTATTGTTGACTGTTAAAAGACATGAAGCTGAATGTGTGTGTGTGTGTGTGTGTGTGTGTGTGTGTGTGTGTGTGTGTGTGTGTGTGTCCACAGAGAACCCAAGTGAACCCTTTGGAGCGTCGGTCATTATAGACGGAGTAACGTACGGCACAGGAACCGCAAGTAGTAAAAAACTTGCCAAAAATAAAGCTGGTAATTTATTTTATTTATATGACTGAGAATTGTGAAAGACGGATTGGTTTATTTCACATCTAAATAAACATTGTATTATCTCGAGCCCTCGGAGAGTTTTGAAATCCCAAATAGCGTTTATATTTTGTTACAATTGTCAGCGTGGAGCAAATGTAAGGCTATTAAATCAGCAAAAGGGAATCACTTGTCCAGGTCAGTTATAATTAACTGTATTCTGTTCACCGTGTTAATTGGAAAAGATAACTTCATAAGCGTTCCCATACCAAATGCTAACTGTTACCAAGAACACTTCTAAGTAGAGATGTTCACAGCTGTCATTCCTCTAGGTGTCACCGTCGAGATAACGTCTTTATATTCTTACTATAATACAGTTGGTTAATGTTCACGTTGTAATGCATCCCTCCTTTCCCTCTCTCTGGTGGTTTGGTGTGAACTTCAGCTCGAGCCACACTGGAAATCCTCATCCCTGACTTTGTGAAGCAGACCTCGGAGGAGAAGCCCGTTGAGGGCGATGAACTGGAGGTACTTGCATATTATTGACACTTTTTCAGTGAAGTACAAAAGAGTAAGTTAAAGTGATGTATCTTCGACATTAAAGGCAGGCAACAGGACGGTTATATTTCCCTTGAAAGCATCCATGAAATAAATGGTGTCTGTGTGTTTTCTGCTCCACAGTATTTTAATCATATCAGTATAGAAGACACTAGAGTGTACGAGCTGACCAACAAAGCAGGACTACTTTCGCCATATCAGATTCTTCACGAGTGCCTTAAACGGTAAGAACCAAATCGATGCCATCAAAGAAAATTGTAATAAATATTTGTGTTTCATTTAAAGAAATATCTATAATGAAGAGTTGAAGTGTATTCTGAAGCAGTTGCATACCATATAGGAATGTGTTACATGAACACAGGTGCTATTATTATTATGTGCCATATTGTATAATCTTTATATACTTAATGGTGGGGTTTGGAGAAACCAGCTCGAGTGCGCTAGAATTTGAAAATACACAGTCGGAAAAGATCTGCCCCTTCCTCACAGAGCCCCTCCTCCAACACACACGAACGCGCACATGACCAATGAGGGCACGAGATAAGTGTGTGCCCAGATGGAAGGCTGACAGGCAGGTAGGCCATCCAGTTACTTTAGCCGGCTCAGATGATTGGTCGTGCTTTTTACAGAGCCACGGCTTCCACAGATGAAGTATTTGTATGTATTTATTGTCAAAGCATTTAATGTATTCATTGCTATCAGGATGTTAAGAGCATTCCATGGAATATAACAAAAAGTGTATCTCGAGCCGATTTCTCAAACGTACCCCACCTTTAATATCGCTTGGTGTCTTGTTTTCTGAGTAGACGTTGGCATTCCTTACGTGCTTTAAAGCCGCTGCCCTTCACAAAACACATCATTACAGCTGCCGCTGCTTAGCGTTCATGACTTGTTGCAGATAAAACATGTTTGAAACGTACTGTTGTCTGTCCTGCAGAAACCATGGGATGGGAGACACCAGCATTAAGTTTGAGGTGATCCCCGGGAAAAACCAGAAGAGTGAATATGTGATGACGTGCGGGAAGCACACTGTGCGTGGCTGGTGTAAGTAATCCTCCTTTATCCACATGTGTAGTGTCGAGGCAACTAGTTTGAAATGCCATGTCTGTTTATTGACATGTTGTGTACATGTGCCACCAGGCAAGAACAAGAGGGTGGGCAAACAGCTGGCCTCTCAGAAGATCTTACAGATGCTTCATCCCCACGTCAAGAACTGGGGCTCCCTGCTGCGCATGTACGGCCGAGAGAGCAACAAGATGGTGAAGAAGGTAAATATGTTTGTACTAAAAAGCTTCTGTGGCCATGAAGAACTGGAAAGGGTTCGTTTTCGTAACATTTCAGTTTTTTGTCGAGTGGAATTTTGTCTCACTGTAGATTTCAGTGAGCAATTATCAGGCTATTTCAGTTGTACCAGCCATAAGCATTTCCTTAACCTTACTACCAGAGAACAAGCAGTGAAATGTAAATGGTGTGGATTACTGTGTAAGCACATCTCCACTAATGTATTAAATGGACTGATGTTTTGCAGGAGAGCGCTGACAAGAGTGTGATCGAGCTCCAGCAGTTTGCCAAAAAGAACAAGCCAAACCTCCACATCCTGAACAAGCTGCAAGAAGAGATGAGGAAGCTGGCCGCGCAGAGGGTGAGAGTTGGCTGCTTTTTGTGTAGCATGGCTCCTAAATGGTGGAATGAGCTCCCCATGGACATCAGGACAGCAGAAAGCTTACACACCTTCTGGCGCCTGAAAACTCATCTCTTTCGACTCCACTTCCAGCGATAGAACTATTAACAAAGCACTTATATACTAATAAAGGACTGGCTTACCTAAAGCCAGTTGAGTAGCACTTGAAATGTTTTGTCTATGAAACCTGATGTACTTATATGATTCTCTTTTCTTCAAGTTTGTATCTTCTTGGTCGAACGCACTTATTGTAAGCTCAATGTAATGTTTAGCTTTTATTCTGTCCCATAACCCCATCTTGATGCTCGACGTTTTGAAAGCAGACTCGTTGTTATGTCTGTCAGCGTAGCCGTTTCTATGGTTTAGCATCGTGAACGGATTGAATCTTGTAATTGTTAACATCTTGTACCATTTTCACATCTTCTTCCAACAGGAGGAAACTAGGAAGAAGCCCAAGATGACCATCAATGAGTCGGCCCAGCCGGGCAGCGAGCCCCTCTGCACTGTGGACGTTTGAAGTCCCTGCTGGAGCACTGAAACCCCGTCACTGTCACACACTCCACCCCCATCTCACACACACACACCTACACACCTACACCTGATGGCAATATAGATCCACATTGACCGGGCCAGTAGAAACGCTTCCTCAGCTGGTAGATGCGCACTAACAGTAGAGAAATATCACCTACCTCTCGATGCAAACTAGCTTTACGGCACTTAAAAACACTCCCCGAGCTGCAGACTTAGAAACAGACAGATTCAAATAAAAATGCATGTTTCTCTGACCGCAGTCATCACCTTGGTTTTGTTTTGAAGTGTCGTTTTGAACACCTTGCAGCTATTAGTTTTGTGCTTAACGTATTTGAAAGGGACTACTAATACGTGTATCGTTTTAATCGGGAACCATACTCGTTTATTTGGTATTTTAATGGTCGGTGTTATGAATATTTTTTGGGGTGAAAACAAAAACAAGCTGTTTTTGTTTATCCTCAGAATGGACACTTGCTGTCTTGGTTTGCACGATTTGAGAACATGCGTTGTGACGACTATTCAGAACTCTTGTTATGCACTTGTCACATGTGTTGACTGAGCATGCTTATGGTACAGGAGTAAGAGTGGAGAAACGTGTTGCCTTTCTTGACCCTTTGCTTTTGGAAGTACAAGAATAAAACGTCCTAATCTCTGCAGTCAAGCACAGAAAGATATGTAGAGCGAAGGATCCTTTCCGTTAGGCTCTCAAGAGTACTAATGCCACACACACCATTTCATTAGCTTGTTTGAGTTGCCTTAGTTTATCAATTTCATGAAGGGCTCAGAGTATAATGGACCTAAAACACCCTTCAACAGGAAGTGGAAAGACCAAGCCCCCTGTACTCGATTTAGTATTTGAGTGAAGACAGCCTGTGCATATTTTAAAGGATTGTTTGCTTTTCCATCATTATTATATTTTCAAAACACATGGTAGAATACACTTTTCAAAAGGCAGCCTTGTACATACGTTGGTACACTGACAGGAACAAGCTGGTGAGTGTGTACCAAAGCTTACATACAGTCTTATGCATTTTATAGAGTCCTTATGTTACTGCAGACGAAACATCTACAATACACATTTCTTGCTGGAACAAACTGTGCATTCATTCTGTCAATTATTTGGCCTGTTTTTTTTTTTACAAAGTAATCTTGAATACATCCCAGTTCAAACAGGCTGTTGCGATATTGTAGGTTGATTTAAGAATGTGCTTTCCGTTCAGTGTCGGTGTGAGAAGAAAAACATACAGCTTTGTGTCGTTTGACATGTTGCTGCCTAGAAAATGAAGTATGTATTGCAACCTGAGCTCCATGACTTCAGTGGTTTGTTATGCAAAATAAAATGTCTTGACTAATGACTGGAAGAGCTTTTAATTCAGACGCAGACTGATGAAACACTCAACAGGAAGTAAACTGTGGTGCTACTTTTTCCATTGTACTGGGGCATTGTCCTTCGCAGTTTAACAAAGTATCAAAAAACAATGTCAATCTCAGTTTTCTTTAAATCTAGTTTTGAAAGCTTATAAAATTAGCATAGCATTAGCAAGCAGACATTATAGTCCATATTGTTCAGTTAAGCAAATACAGTGCAATGCATTCTGTATTAACACTAACCGATGATTTCATGCACAAGCTATTGTTACGAAACAAAAGGACTGGTGAAAATGTATTATGTGGATGCACAGACCCTTGAATCTAAGACTATAAGATCCTGCAGATTACTAGAAAAAAAACTGTTGAGTGCTGTTTGCATACACTTAAAGTATGGAGACCCCCATGCTACCTATCAAAGGCCGGGCCCCTCTGAAGGTAAGTGTGTCTGTCGCTCATTGCTTGGCGTCGTAGTCCACCCTCTCCAGCAACAGCAGCATCTCCAGGTGCATCGTCTGAGGGAACAGATCCACGGCCATCGCTCGCACCGGGCGGAAAGCAGCGCCGTGAACTCTTTTAGACGGAGCTCTGCACAGACTGAGACAAAGAGGAACAACACTTTAGAATTGGTCACCTTTAAAATTGGAAAACAATTAGAATTAACTTTTGTGACGTGAAATTCAGGGTGTTGTTCTTGCCTCTCACAAGTCCGATAAAGAAATTGCTTTTAGGGATTAGTTTGTCCATAAAATTAACAATTGTAACACAACGGTCGTGAGTAAAATCTAAATAAAATATTTAAAATGATAACATTAAGTAACAGAGCATGCATACTAGTACATACAAATATGATCTAAATAAAGAATACACCTCTCATACTCATGGGAGAGGGTTGGAAGGCTTTTAAAGTGTTCACACGCTCCACTATTGCCAAAAGAAAATCGAAGAAGATTCTTAATTGGGCCAACATTTAACAGCAAAACATCCCATTCACAAACTCCAGTCCATCTACTAAACCAGGGTCTATGCAGGAATCCTGAAGTCAAATGTAAAACCTTTCAAGACCTTGTTTAAGACCCTTTCCATACATTTTAAGACCTCATCGCCATTTTGAGTTCTAACCGGTTACCTTGGCGACACACTTCACCTCACATTGACTATATACAGTATTGATTGTCCTTCCTCCTTATCTTCCAACCATTTGGACGCAGACTTGCATTTCCCCATAACGATGTTTTTTAACAACCGGCGTAAACGGACCTTCGTGCTATCAAGCAGTGAGCGCGCGATGTCCTGTTCAGATGACGTCCAATCCAACGGGATGCCATAAATAAACTACACAGAATCACACTACACACCTACGCCATGATTACATTCAGGCACACTGTAGAACACAACCTCTCTGGACCATTCATATACTTATTGAAAACAAGCTACAAAATGTAATACCTTGGAAAATGCCGGTTAATACTTTTTAATAGCCTTAATTTTCGGTAAAATTATATATCTACTTTTCAAGACCCCGCGGACGCCCTGTAAACACGTGCATTTTCACTGAGATCGTACCGTTTAAAAGGCGTGTTTTAAGTAGTAAGATATAGTAAAAACAAGTGTGTTTGTTAAGTAAGTTAATGAGACCAACAAAATAGTGCACAAGTTGATATTCTTTGGCTCTTAAAAAACTTCAATTCAACCAGACTAATCTCTTTTTCCTTTTGTTACTCTTGAATCACCATGGAGGCATGCGAGTAAAGGATTTCCTTTAAGAATAAAAAGGTGACAGTAATTGATAAACAAATCGTCCTTTAGCGGTGTGGGAGAAGTGTTCCTTTAATCTAACTGCTGCTTTAAATAATGAAACCATAATGACTCACTCGATGAAGTTGTTCATGGCAGCTTTAGCATTGCATGCTACGTACACCAGCCTCTTCAGGTGCTCCGCCCTCCTGATGGCAAGAATCACCTTGGAATCTGTTTAGTTAGGACAAAGGAAAACTTAACGTGTGTCCGATCCTGAAGCGAGTGAATTAGTCTCCATGTGTTGGCAGTGAACTCACGGAGGCCGGCCCTCGGAGGATCCACTATGGCGGTGAGGTTGGGCGACACCAGAGCATTGAGGATGTTGGGGAACACGTCCTCAGCTTTCCCACAGTGAAACTCAATATTACTCAGACCTTCAAAACCAAACAAAGGAAACATAAAAATAAAGAAAACATGCTTTTTGTGGAAGTCATACACAAAATCAGAGGGTCAAACATGCAGAAGGTTAGCCCTCAACACGGCAAACTTCCAATTTATAAAAACTATTTAACATCAATTAACTTAAACCATGTTAACACTGACCGAACTACATTTATGATTATAAAACGGATAAGTCAAATCAAGCAATCTGATTGGTTCTTAGCCGTGCTATAATGAGCGTATACCACGGGTAGAATTGTAGTTACTTTTCACAACAAGTCAGTATCCCTCCGCGTCTGAGAAAAACTACAACCGTTACAACTGTTACATTACGGCCGTTTACGAAACTAACTAACTAACAAAGCTTAAGATGGAAACATGTAAGGGATAATGTGCAGCAAGGACTTATTGACCGTTGTTAAGGACGCTCACATCTGCAGAAAGAAGTCCAGTCGATTTAACTGTATACAGTTGGGCTGAAACTGGACAAGAAAACAACAGCTTCGCGTCGGGCCGAACCACGCCCCTTAGCTGTGATATAATGAGCATATACCACGGCCTGTCGTGAGCTATTGCTTAAATAAAAACATGTCATAATTATAATTCGCTGGCTGTATGTGTCATCTGGCCTCTTACCGTTGAGCTTTGCATTAACCTTGGCGTCCTCCACAGCTTCCTGACACATTTCGATCCCGATAACCTTCTTTACTCTCTACAGACAAAAGTCAACAAATAGTATAAACATTATTTTTCAAGCCATAAAGAATATCACATTTCAGAATGTTTTTGTTTGCAAAAATAGAGCTGGCAGCCGAGAGGCGCTAGGGCTGGGTAGAATACAGCCTACGCTCGCTACACATTGAAGTAAACGGTTATTTTGTGGGGTTTTTTGTAATTATTATTGAGTGTTCTTGTATTTTAATGTGTTATTTTATACCTCGGGACAGTGGGAAACAGTATTTCGATCTTTCTGGGTGTACAAACATATTTTGAGATTGACAATAAAGTTGACTTTGACTGTTGGAGGAGCCTGTGACCATTGTCTTAACTACACTGTAGCTATGCACACATGACAATAAAAGCCTTGAAACTTGAATGAACAGACAGATCAATTATGAATGACTAACTCCTGTCAGTTCAAATGGACAAAGCATAGGTTACATAATAAGGTTCACAGGTTAACGTTGTGTTGACCGGTCACCTTGGCCAGAGAGATGCCGATGGTTCCCGTCCCGCAGCAGACGTCCAGCACCGTGCTGTCCTCGCTCAGCTGAGCCCACTCCCCCACCGCAGAGTACAACACCTCCGCAGCGCCTGTGTTCACCTGCAGGGGGACATTAACACTCAACACTGAGAACACTCTAGCCTCATCCCAATACTCCTCCTCGACTCCTCCTTTCCCTCACTCGCTTCCCTTCCTTGCGTCTTAGCTCCGCCTCCGTAAGATGCGAGCGAGCGACACGAGGAGGTGACGCGAGGACAGAGGAGTCCTCAGGTATTAATTGGGATGTCCTCGTTCACTCAAACGTCACTCTTAAATGACGTCTGTTAATGATGACATGTGCACAGCTGTGTCCCCTCTCATCGGGCTTAACTGGATAACCCTTTAGAACCGGCCCATTTGTTGTTAAATATTTATTTAAATGAATCTTTCTCTTGTTAATCAAGGAATTCAATGTATGATGGTTGGTCCTGCTTTTGTGTTCCGTTGTAAAATGTAGCTTACATTCAAATACAAATATAATTATAGTAATGTGAAAGCCTTTTAGAAATGAATTGCACATAATAATTCCCACGGAGCTGTGAGCACTTATACATTTATGTGACGCTTTTCCACTCATCTTCCAGTTGTGGGTTTTCCTCTGTTGAAATGGACCAGCTGTGAAAGTGGGGGCGGGGCTTTTATACGCGAGTAGTGAAAACACTTCCGCGTAGTCTGCTCGCATGTATCCTCCCTTTCGTCTCCTCCCTCACCCCTCCTCGACTCCTCCGTCTGCATTTCAGCTATTGAGACGTCCTTCAAAATGGCGTGTCTTGATCGATTTCCGGGTCAAGTCCCGGAGGAGGGGAAGAGAGGAGTCGAGGAGGGGTATTGGGATGATGCTTCTGTGTATAAAGGCCTTTAGAGCTGCAAGCAATGATGTTTTTCCATTTGCCGTTTGTATTCTCGATTAATCGTTTAGTGGTTTGGTCTATAGATGTTGGACAAAGTCCTCAAACGACTTGTTTTGTACAAAAATCTAAGGAGATTCAGTTTATCGTCTGAGAGGAATAAAGGAACCCAAAACATATTGACATTTAGTAAGCTGGACTTCTGAATTTCTGGCATATCAAAATAGTTGTTGATTAACTTAATAGTTCAAACAAATCCAGTAATCTTTGTGTTCTCAAATACAGAACTCCAAAAGTTAACTAAAAAGTACGTCAAAGTAAACAAAAAAAAGAGTATACACATAGCATTTTCCAATTTGCTGAAAGTCTCTGATCTCTCTGTTACCTGGAAGAAGGAGTGAGGAGATATCCTGAACTTCAGACCCAGCATCTCCTCGTGGATGCTGCCCTCTCCGGACACCAGCTCACAGGGCAAGCCCTCCAGGGTAGGAGAAGTCCTTAAGAGAAACAAAACTCATTTAGTATTTAGGATGCTTTATAATCTGCTTTCCACGGTTTGTCATTAACTTTCTCTGATACCACAAGTGAAGCGTCAGGATGTTTTTCTTACCTTTGACCCTCTCTAATGAAGTAGAGAGACGTTACTCCGCTGTCCTTCCCCTCTCCTTCTGTGAAGTACGTCTTCATGGAGTTCTTTAATGCACCCACTTCCTCTTCATCAAGTTTCTAGAGTCAGTGAACCAAGAAAAGGTCAGGACAGATCTGAGTAAGGGACAGTTTCCTCCCTCAGGCCATAAGACTGAAACACCTGGACTTTCAAAGAGCATCCATAACATTCACCTGTTTGCAACTCACATATATCAATACTCCAATTACTGTATATAGACTATTCTGCACTATTTAGTTTTGTAGTAATGTGTTTTTATTACATGTACAGCACTTTGGCTCGACCAAAAATCGCTCTTAAATGTCCTTTATAAATAAAACTTGATTTGATTCATATTATATTTTATTGTATTTACTTTACATGTTACTTGTTAGACGCTTTTATCCAAAGTGACTTACATACTCAATACTGTGGGCAATCCCCACAGGAGCAATTTGAGGTGAAGTGTCTCAGGGACACAACGACATGCTGACTGCAGTGGGGTTTGAACCTGTGACCTCCTGATCCGAACACCAAGGCTCTATCCACTGCGCCACACGCCGCCATGAACTATTATCTGTTTTATTGTGTTGCACTGTGGGAGGAACCTGTGACCTCAGATTGTCATCGTCATAACTACACTGTAGCTATGAACACATGACAATAAAAGCCTTGAATCTTGACTGTGATATTCTCAAACGTAGGTTCACACAGTCTTCACCTGTGGATTGAAGAAAGCCATAGCCATGGCTTGTTTGGTCCTGGTAGTCCTGACAGTGAGCTGCTTCCAGTGCCCTTCATATGTTTCAGGGCTGTACACAGAGTACGGTGTTGTCCTGCGTGCAGAATAAGAGTGAGATTAAAAGCAACACAGGAAATGCATGGGAGAAGACTTCAACTCTCATGTCTAAGAAACCCTAAGAAATAGAGACACAGTAGTCAAACAAATTATTCATCACTTATATATAGACTCTTATGGCACTACTTCTATTCTATTGTATTTACTTGCACTATTTTATCTGTGTTATTGTGTTGCTCTGTTGGAGGAGCCTGTGAGCGAAGATCTTCATCGACATAACTAAACTGTAGCTACGTACGAATGACAATAAAAGCCTTGAAACAATTACATTTTATTTATTCAGCCAATCATCAAAAACTACGTATTTGTCTCAGGGGTTTTACAGTGTGTTCAGCATACGACCCCCTCTGTCCTCAGACCCTCACACACGGAAAAACTCTCCCAAAAAAACAAAATGAACAGGAAAGAATGGAAAAAAACCTCAGTGAGAGCAACAGAGAAGAACAGACGTGCAATAGGTGTTATATGTGCGGTTAAAACATCATCAGAGAGGGTCTGTATTTATGTATCATTTGCCAAGACGTGAAAGGGAAGGGGTAATGTGTGTGTGTGTGTGTGTATGTGTGTGTGTGTGTGTGTGTGTGTGTGTGTGTGTGTGTGTGTGTGTGTGTGTGTGTGTGTGTGTGTGTGTGTGTGTGTCTGTGTGTGTGTGAGCAATATAGTGTAGATTTGAGTGGACTGTAAACTGAGGCAGATGTGATTTGTATGTACATCTCCATGTATGTTATCTATTTGTGAGAAGAAAAAATAAACACATCATAAAAATGGTATTTTTTTTGAATGGCCCATTGTGTAATAATACCTGATGAACTTCTGGAAGGCGCTGACCACCCTCTTGGCCTCTGCGGAGACGTGGGTGGTCTCGCCCGGCCCCACCACGGCACACGAGCCCCCTTTATACTTCCCCATGCGGAAACCGATGGTCTTATCCACCCCGTCTGCTCCCATCGAGATGAGGAACTCACACTTGTTTCTGTACTCCGTCTGCCAGACAGGAAGAGAGATAGAACGGGTCAAATAACGTGTTGGAAAAAGTGACTGAGAGCACTAACTTAGGGTTTTGTACTTTTTAAGAGGATCTGTAAGGTAAGGTAAGTTTATTTATATCGCACATTGTCAGACACAGAGGCAATTCAAAGTGCTTTACCTCATCATTAACACTTAATAATATATATAATATTTGGTTCTGAGCCGGGGTACAATGAGTAAACAAATATTTGTTTGTCAAGTCTGTAGAATAGGATTTGTAGGTCTGAGTACCACTGCAGATCCACAATACTTAACGGTTGGAGTATAACAAAACATTTGACTTCTTTCTGCCTAAATAGCCCATGTTGCCATTTTGATCAAATGTAAAATAATTGTGTAGCTATACTTCGGCATTTGGGATCCCTTGTATTACAATACACTTATATTTAATAAAGCATTATGTAAGAAAGTATGATATATGTGTAGTATTTCAGATGAGCCCAGACATGGAGACCCACCTGTACGGGAGACGGCCGGATAGCTTCCAGAGAGCAACACATCCTGTTGTATTTCCCTTTCTGCGCAAACAGCCACGGCAGCAGGGCTTTGTTGGTGCTGCCGATCTCTCTGAAAAGGAAAAAGCAAAAAGTAGATGTTTGTATCGCAAAATACTCAGACAGTAGCTTCACTAATCATTTAGTCATATATCCATTACAACCCTAAAACAACAACGTTTTGCGTAGAGTTTTGTTGTGCTCACAGAACACATGGACATAGGTATTAACTTATCAATAGCATATATTTGGATTTCAGACACAAAAATCCTCTTAAATATTGAATTTCACTGGTATTTATTTGTAGTTGAAATATGTCAATATATTCACTAAGAAGCTCTGTGTGGATCCTCTTAGCGGTCCCCTCTGTGTCCAGGGAAGTCGGTCAAAAGTTGTTATGTTTCAAGCTCAATGTTTTTGATATAAGTTCCTGTTTTTTGTCATTAATTTGAAAATGTTTCTTTTCCCATTCTTAAAAAAAATAAAAAAGGTAAATGGACATTACTTATATTGCGTGTTAACAGGTCTTCTCGACCCCTCAAAGCACTTTCATTCATTCACACCTCATTCGTAATGAGCAGTACCACTTGCTCTAGGGAAGATTACATCCGGGAGCCATCAGGAGCAACTCAGGGTTCAGTAGCTTGCCCAAAGACGACCGCACTCCCTCGCAGCCACATTCGCCCTGTACTATGATGTACTATGTTAAGGTAATACTATCATTGTTCCTTAATATATAAATGATATGTTTCTTTTGATTGGGTCGAACCTGTGTTTGTAACACGTACTTGTCTTGTTATGAGTTTGTATGATTGTTTGTATGATTGTTTGCTGGTTGTCGTTGTTGCGTCCTTTATTACTTTAGAATAACATATGAGCTTTGTGATCAAAATCTGATACTATACAACAGGGGTGTCAAACTCAAGGCCCGGGGGCCACATCCGGCCCGCGACTTCATTTTATGTGGCCCCGCAAGAGCTTGCAAAGAATGTAATACGTTTATTATACGATTAAATGCCGCTTTACAGAATCAGGTTGCCCATAAACTGCATGTCCCACAATGCATCTTGTTTTGTGACATGTGCACGGAAGAGACTTGCAATTATTTGCTTTCAGACGTAGTTAATTACTAAGTCATTATCCTATCCGATAATAATCCAATTCAGAGGCAATAATGTAATATAACACATTATTTTATATATATTATATATTTATATATATGTATATTTTATATAGTTACAACCGGCCCTTTGAGTGCAACCATAATGCTGATGTGGCCCGCGATGAAATTGAGTTCGACACCCCTGCTATACAACATACTAGGGGCCAGAGGTTGCGCTAGACTTTTTCGCTGCCCGTCATTTTAACGGACAGGATCGTAAAATGTCCGTCAAAATCCATTATAACCCGTCGGCCTGTACACAACTCTGCCGGGGGGTATCGTTTCCAAATGGGGGGGATATCGTTTGGAAACGATATCATTTCCTGCATAATAACACGGCATAACACCGGAGCACCGCTGCGGTGAAACTTTGGCGCTGTTCTGAGTTTGTTCTAATCTGTCAAAATGACGGACGGCTTTCAGATTTTTCCGTCATTGTTAAAAAAAAACGTCAGACGGAAAATATTCGGTTAACGCGACCTCTGCTAGGGACACACCTGGTACCACTATGGATGCTTCATGCTCTCTATACACAGTAAACACCAGCACTCACTTGGCGAGTCTCTGCAGGACCCCCACCACCTCCTGCTCCTTCCTCTTCAGCTGCTCCTCGTACGGGACGTTCCACAGCGGCGTCACCACGTTGGCGATCTGCACGCTGAGCGGCTCCTCTTCCTCCTCCTCCACCCCCTCCGTACGCTTTGATGAAGGCTGCCCCGATGCACCTTCCTCCTCCTCCTGCTTCCTCTTCCTCAGGATGGGGTCTGCTTTGGGTTTGGCCAGCCGCACGCTCAGCACCTGGCTCTTCCACTGCATGCCGTGCACCATCTTCATGGCCTTGTCGCGCTCCTCCTCGTTCTTGAAGGTGACGAAGGCGAACGTCTGCTTGCCGAACAGCTTGATTTTGTGCGGGTTGAGGCCGTGTTTGGCCAGGAACTTCTTCAGGTCGTTGAAGCCGGTGAACTTCGGGAGATTCCTGATCTCCACTTTGTAGATCTCCGATGTGAAGAGGTCTTCTTTGATGTAGCGGTACATCTCGGGGTCCAAGCTTTCCTCGTTCTCCCCTTCAGCTTTTCCTTCATCTTTGTTTGAGTCCTGGGGGGCGTCGTCAACAGGCTTCTCCTCCATTGAGGCGGGGGTATCAACCACTGGGCCGCCACTTACGTCTGCCATAATTCTGCCAATTACACAATTATTAATGATATGATATAATGATATGCATGTCTGATTTACTTAATAATGATAAAAAAGCGATGTAATTAGCTAATTTGATCTAATCTTATATACACACATTTTCTTATTGTCCACATATTCATACATTACTACAATAAAAAGTATTTGATTCTACTGTACAGTATTAAAGTATGCTCTAATTATATTGTACATGTATATTTGTTTACTTATGTCATATGTACAGTATACTGTATGTAGCCTATAATGTATTTTTCTTGGACAAAACTGTAGCTGTTTTTCATTTAATAATAAAGCCTTTGAATCTTTAAACTTACGTCTGTTTATTAATTTAAAAACAATAATCAATACGCTTTTACTCGACAGGGTGCTCAGAAATCAATCTTAGTTACGGAGATTTTATATTTGTTCTTTACAATGGTAATAATTAACTTCAAAATACGAACGTAACTCACAAATTCACATTTTATAATAGCTTTAAATAAAATGCAATAACAGCTCCTACAGACTTGAGTTCTGGCTGTATGTCACGCATACTCATCATAACAGATGAGGTGGCAACTAACGTGCACAGAAGCTGCGTGCATATCTGTTTAAGGAAATAGAGTCGTAATTATTAACTTTAATGTGCACCAGTTTAACGTTTCCTATCGTGGTAAATACCTGTAACGGTCTATTTTAGTGGTAGTCCAGACCATGTGTTTTTATGTGCCTTACCTTCTGATTTTTACTTTCTATTCCACTTCTCCCTCAGATGTTCAGGGCGCCGCCATGTTGTTTTAAACACGTGCAGCAGTGAACCCTGAACTCATTTAAAGAGACACGAGCCATTTCTGAATTCATCTTTTGTGTACTTTTTTTTGAATGCGTTTAAACGATTAATGTTTCTAATTCAACGGTATGTTTTTCAATATTAATAGTTAAATATTTTCAATATATTTTACGGTTTTGTATTTGTTCATTGGGGTAAATGTGCATTTTGGTTTAACCACTTAATTGTGTCCGAGTTTGTTGAGATCTGCAATATAATAATAATAGTAATATTAATAGTAATAATTCTCTAGGTTTTTTCATTGTGTGCTCTAGGGATACTACTGTTAGTATATATTTACTGTTTTTCTTTATGCTTTTTCTTTTACATGCTGTAATCAAACAATATCCCAATTTGGGGATCAGAGAGAGTAAATGTAACCCACTCAAATACACCCAGTGTGTGTGTGTGTGTGTGTGTGTGTGTGTGTGTGTGTGTGTGTGTGTGTGTGTGTGTGTGTGTGTGTGTGTGTGTGTGTGTGTGTGTGTGTGTGTGTGTGTGTATGTGTGTGTGTGTGTGTGTGTCGGAGAGACGGTTTTGATGTAAGAATACATATTTAGTGCCAGGAATACTAAAATGAATGTAATGGAGTTTTGGCGATTGTGCGGGAGTATCATTCAGGAGGGGAGAACCGATCCGATGAAACCCCCCGGGGTCTAGACACTGGTGGTGGTGAATGGAGGGTTGGGGTCGGTCTGAAGGGGAGGGGCTTAGCTTGACCCTGGATTCAGAGGGACAGGAGGTGACAGGGGGGAGGAGGGTTGCGTCGAGTCACCTGAAATGACAGCTGTCTGAGAGGGGAGAGTAGATTTAAAAGGGTTAGCGGAGCGCTATGATAGGCTTGTGAGAATAGAGCGAAGTGATTGGTTAAGCTGGGGAGTGACGCCCCCGATCACTTATAGAGAGGAGAGAGAGGAGAAACATGGAAATAGTAAATTAATGAGTAAAGACGGTCTTCCTGGTTGAACTCGCGCTGAGCTTCATTTAGTCTCAGATCACTTCCACATGTTCTCCATCAGCTTCGTAGCACCTTGGACATAACACAAGAAGAACATCCTGTTTTTGTTTTTGAAAGACAAACCTTTATTAATGATCCAAACATTTCCTTTGATCACACATCCCATCAGTAAAGTGTGTTCAATGATTTCATGATCAGTTTCTCTTTATCCACCATGATGTGTTTCATCTCAGCTGTTTCAAACAGAACCAGACATGATTTACTTATTGATTATTATCATGATGAGTTATGTTCTATAAAACATCAGAGTACCCACTTTCTATTTGGACAACAACAACAACAACAACAACAACTAGTCTGTAAAACAATAACTGTAATATTATACCATGTATTTCCCGAGCAAAGACTCTCAGCTATTTACAGCAGAATAATGAATGATGTACTTTTTGATTATGATCATGACAGCAAGTAATATCATTTAAAATAAACATGTGATGATGAAATAAGTGTGATAACCATCTGGGAACTCATGTGTTTGTTAATTTGGGCAACAATAACATTTAATCTGTCAGAATAATACATGTGATTATAAATGTCTCTGTTGTTTTAGAGCCAGAATAAAATGTGTAGAATAAAAGAAGCTGTGCTACTTTCTCTCTGAAGACTCGTGCACTACAAGAGAAACAACAACAAGAATCAAAAGAAATATCCAACACATATTTAGAGCAAAGTTTACACATCAGTTCAGGTGAACAAGGATCCTCCTGAGCAGTGACAGCCTCCATGGCGACACAGACACAGGAAGGAGCCGGAAGAAAGTCCAACATCTACAGAACAACTCGTGAGAAGACGTTGAAGCCCATCCCATCATGTTTGATTGACAGCTGATCTATGCAGTGAAGACATGGACAATCAGCTCTGATGGACACACGGTGAGTTTAAGAAGTAGAAGAGTTCCTCCAAGGACTTCAGGCTATTTGAGTTTACAAAACTCAGCTGTGGCTCCATAATCATAACCATAAAGCCGAACTCCAGCATGTAGCGGCTGAGTGAACGTGGTCTGGACTCTGTGGAGGAGAGTCATGGTTTCAGAGACGCTGTAGAAGGACAGAACACCTGCTCTGTGATCCAGGTACACTCCTACTCTGGAGGACGGAGGACCTGAGACGGGAGTGATGATACTGTTGTAAATAAATGAATATCTGTTTTGGTTACACTCTAAGGACCAAGATTTGTCATTGATTCCAAATACACTTTCCAGCTCCCCTGCTCTGCTGATATTCTTGTATGAGACTGCTACTCCAACTCCTCTCCCTCTCCACTCCACCTCCCAGTAACAACGTCCAGTCAGACTCTCTCTACTCAGGACCTGAGGATAATAAGTGAATCTGTCTGGGTGACGAGAATAAGGCTGTTCTTGTTCCATGAATGTTGCTTTTCTGCTCCCCTCAGATAATACCAGCTGTGTGTCTGCTGTGTTTGGATCCAGAGTGATCTCCTGTGAATATGTTAAGAACCCAGCTCTGGTGGTGGGCTCTGCTGCTGACAGTAAAACCTCCACTTCAGTCGGTGAGACGTTTGTCCATTCCTCTCTCAGGACGTCCTGTAGTTTGTCTCTGACTGCTGACAGGGCCGCCGTCACGTCCTCAAAGTAGCTCAGAGGACGGATGTTGATGCTGGAGGAGTGTGTAGCTTCACTGAGGGCTGGCAGTGAGGGGTAGCTGAGCAGGAACTGGTTGTGATCCTCTGTGTGAGACAGCAGCTTCAGCTCAGCGTCTCTCCTCTTCAGCTCAGCCATCTCCTGCTCCAGCTTCTCCTGGAGCTCTCTGACTCGACTCACTTCTCTCTTCTGCTGGGATCTGAGCTGCTGCTTCACATCAGAGCTTCTCTTCTCCATGAGACGGATCAGCTCAGTGAACGTCTTCTCACTGTCCTCCACTGCTTTATCAGCAGAGCCATTGACGGCCTCCACCTCCTGCTGAAGCAGCTTCACCTCCTTCTCTCCGTCCTGGATTCTCTGCTGGATGTTTAGTCGACTCCCCTCCAGCTCTCTCTGCCTCTCAGTCCTCTCTGCTGCAGCAGACACCGTGTCGTGGCCTTTGTGTTCGTCCACAGAGCAGAGATAACAGATACTCTGCTGATCAGTGCGGCAGAACAGCTTCTTCACCTCGTCGTGACGAGAGCAGATGTTCTCCTGGAGCTTCTTGGAGGGCTCCACCAGCTTGTGTTTTCTAAAGACAGGTGATTCATAATGAGGCTGGAGGTGTTGGTCACAGTAAGAGGCCAGACACACGAGGCAGGACTTACAGGCTCTCAGCTTCCTCCCAGTGCAGACATCACAGGCCACATCTCCAGCTCCAGCATAGCAGAGATCAGCAGGAGCAGGTGGGGGTCCAGTCTTCTTCAGCTCCTCCACTAAAGCTGCTAACATGGTGCTTTTCAGCAGGACAGGCCTCGGTGTGAAGCTCTGCCTGCACTGAGGGCAGCTGTGGATTAGCTCTCCATCCCAGTGCTGTGTAATACACTTCATGCAGTAGCTATGTCCACAGGGAATAGTCACCGGATCCTTCAGTAGATCCAGACAGATGGAACAAGAGAAGGTTTCCCGGTCCAGCTGAACTCCTTTCTGCGCCATTTCACCTCTCAGCAGCAGCGAGTGTGTGAGTTTCACTTCCTGAGAGCTGAAACTATGTGACAACATGTGTGTGTGGGTGGTGAATGTGGCCTATCAGCTCTTGTGCTTTACCCACATGTTGGTTCCTCCCCTCCTCCTCAGTGTGGATCTGAAGGGGAGGAACCAGGAAGTACAGAGTGGAGCTGGCTGCGTCTGAGAGCAGGAAGAAGAGGGAGTTTGATATGATGAAGTCAATTGAGCTGGCCAGACTAATAATGCTCCTGATATTTTTTTTAATTGATTGAATAGAGTGTATATTTTGGGTGTGAGAGCAGTTTTAAAATATATTTTCAGAAGATTTGAAAGACCCTCTACTCTAAGTGATGATGTCACGCCCTCTAGCTCTGAAGAGACACCCATTATCAAATCTAACACGGACTGAACATGTACCAAAACTTAAACGTTGATAATTCAAGAACTGTAAAAGATATCAAAAAGTCCATGTAAACATTTATAAATAAAACACATACTTTTTAAAGACTTAAAATTGTCAAAACTCAAGAAATTGTGTTTCTCAAGGATGGTACATTGGTGGTATGAATATGGCTTTCTGTCAAACACCTTGATCACTCTCTTGTACAGCTATTCTATGGGTTTAAGGTTTGTGGCACAAGCAAACGACCAGTTTGTAAAACAGTATTCAATGTGGGATAGAATCATACAGTGGAGGTATGACTTTGCAGCATTGACAGTTAAGAAAGGTCGAATTTGTTTAACATTTTGCAAGTTGAATTTAATAGTATTGGATACTTTCTTAATAAGTTTCTTAAAAGTCAAGTTTTAGTCCAATATGACTTAAACCAATGTATCAAAACTGCCGAAAAATTGAAATGAGTCAGCTTTGTAAGGAGCACTTGGTGGTCAACTGTGTCAAAAGCCTTTCTGAGATCAAGGAAGACAGCACATATGGGCTCGTGTCCAACATACATTTAACCTTTTCCACAAAGACACAGTTAGCCGTCTCAGTGGAGTGGTGAGCACAGAAACCAAACTGCATTGGGTGGAGTCGAGCGAAACTTTTGTCTAAATGTTTGGTGATTAGTTTTGACACCCATTTCCATCATAAGCACACAAAGGAGGCTTATTGAAATGCTCCATCCATAACAGCAGTGATATACAATCTTAATACATAAATAATCAAAATACAATAGGCTATATTATTATCAAATAGGCCAAATAATAACAAGTACGTTCATAACAAGTACTACTTTTGGTTCTTGAAGTATATTTTGATGCAAAAACGTTTGTTTTTAAGTAAGATTTTGAATTAAGGAAATGTACTCGTTACAGAGTTTTATTTTAAAATGTTGTATTGTTACTTTAAACTAAATAAATATATTGTTGTTTTAGTTGTTTTCCACCAGTGAGAAACAATCCACTGTGATGGTCCCAGAGACACGAGAGGCGGTGCGCGCGCTGTCATAATGTGGGCGCGGCCACACGTAGGAAATTCGGCGCGCGAAAGCTGAAGCCGGAAGTAAGGAGCTGAGGGGAGAAGGCGTCCAATTCTTCGATCAAACTACTCGCAGCATCTTTAAACATCCTCTTTTAATATGGCAGACCCAAAGGTGAGGACAACTATTTTAGGTCATCCAGTTCACCATGTCCACCTCGAAGTCAACATTTTGTTCCAAACATGTTCTTGTATATGTTTAAATCGGACAAAGTTTCTAAAGGAAACGGGGGTAGAAATGCCGACTGATATATCCCCTGATGCTAATTCAAGGCTAGTGAAAGCTTGAGCAAATTCTGACAGACAACTGGAAATGTGCAAAGCTAGATTTTATACTCTAACGCTTTCATTTGAAGCTAAAGAACTACTCAAGTGTGCAGACTGTCTGCATGCTAACATTAGCCCCTCTAATCATTAGCTATAAGCACAACAGTTGCTAACAATTCTATTCTACTGTTAGCATCCTAGCATGGGGCTAGCGACTGCGTATTATCGGGCATTCAGCAGTCACAATGCTCCACTAATTTGTAGTGACAGTTAGCCTAAACACATGTCAGCTAAATCAACTTCAACTTTAACGGTGTTAAAAAAGACACCGAGGTGTGAAAAGACAAACGTTTAATGTTAGCGAACGGCTAGCATGCTAGTGAAAGGCCTCCTTGTTAGCTCTGCAACTTCACAATGAGTTGTCTTGAAAAAACAAAGTTGAAATAACTATTTGTTCCCAGTACACAGATTAATGTAACTGGCATAAAGCCACACCTTAAGCATATACATTTTGCCCATCAAGCCAGTTGCCGTTTTATTCAATTAATTATTCCGTTATTGCAATATATTTGGCATCAGTAGCCGTTGTGTAGCTCATCTCCCGTGGCTAGCAGTGGGATGGAGCTAACTAGTGAAGCCTGTGAGCATAAAGGGTTTCCAACCTGAAGAAAGGAAAGTCTCCCGCGTTTGCTCAGTTTCATATCCGTTACATGGTGTAAAGTAACTTGAGTAGATGTACTCGGGTATTGTACTTGAGTACAATTTTGAGGTACTTGAGTATTTTAAATGTACTTGCTTCTTTGTACTTCTACTCCACTACAATTCAGAGGCAAATGGTGTACTTTTACTCCACTACATTTATTTGGTTACTTTGCAGATTTGGATTAATGATGTGAAATATTATCAACACTTACATCAGACTTCAGTTACACCTGGAGTAAATTCACAAGCTACCCTGCAGTATACAAAGTCATTCAAATGTGTTTGACCTTTTTTAACAGCTTGATAAACACATCAATATTTATAATCGAATCACGATCTGAATTAGCATTTTAGCTTTTCTTACTTCAAGTGTATTTAAATACCAATACTTTTGCTTGAGTAACATTTTGAATACAGGAGTTTTACTTGTAACAGAGTATTCTTACACTTTGGTACTTTTACTCAGGTACAAGATCTGAGCATTTCTCACACCTCTGCTTTTCACACGGTCAAAAAACTTGCACACTTCTGAATGCATACAAATAATAATACTCATAATAGCAGCATTTTTTTAACAATGACCACAATATCATTATTTTAATAAACCAAATATGAACAATTGAGGAAAATGAGGAAGAACTGATTGTTCAAATGTTGTAGTACAAGTAGTAATGTAGTTAGTGCATAAATTACTATTGCAACAAATGTGTTAATTTTCTTCATTATTAGCCGATTTGTTTTGGACCAATGCCAGTGGTTACAATGGTGGGGCCAGTGGCTTTTTACTAGGGCTGCAACAAACGACTAATTTGATAATCGATTAATGAAACGATTAATCGATTATTCGGACTATTACTGTATGCCTTGCACAATTTCTCAAACGCTCTTATTTAGCTCAACTTTTACATTTAGCTTGAGGTTGTTTTAGGCATGTGGAAACTAACAATGAAGACAATAAAGATGAATACTTGATTCAAAAATACATATATTATTCAATTTACTAAACACATTGTGAACAAAATTAACATTGCTTTTTATTTCAATTAAATAAATAATATTTCACATCAAAAGAAACAACAATGTTTTAACAAATCGTATTAAATAATCTGATGACAGACTGTAAACAGAATAGCTGAAACATTAACAAAATAAATAACTCAGTTTCCTATAATCATTAACCCATGTTTGAATCATGTAGTTAACTCCGTGTGTTGCTGCTAGCATACATAACACCTGACGTGGAAACGTTACTCGTGGATGGGGCTGCAGAGCTGCTAGAAAGACGGTCGAACCCGGTGCATTCCTCCGTCTGGATGCGGTGCACTTTTGCTAAATGTTTAGACAAATTGCTTGTGCGCCCTTATATGATAAACTGTTATTGCACTTTGGCAACGAGGATTGTCCACATCGAGACGGGTAAAGTTTAACCACACCTCGGAGCGCGTTCTCTCCGCCATCTCCGCAGTGTGCTCCGCTGCATGTAGCAGCTGCGTGTGTGTAAACGGCCCCGCCCCCTCGCACACAGACGGGGAGAGAGATCTCGTCTGGTCGAAAATGATCGGACTCATTTGTTTGTCTTTTTGCATATTAGAAACGAGTTGGCGACACTAAGACTGCGATATAATGTTTTTGTAGCAATAATACATACAGTACCGATAAAAGACCGATAACGTTGGAGCTTAACGGCGCGTAAAACACACGTGATGACGTCACCAAGGAATCGACGACTGAATTAGTTGTCAACTAATTTGGTAATCGATTAAGTCGATTAGTTGTTGCACCCCTACTTTTTACCCTTCATGTCTACCCCTGGCATCACATTCTTCTGTATGCAGAATGTGTTCCTGCCATATTAGTAGCACGCTTTTAATCGTATGCACATCAGCGTGAGAATATGCAACCCCCAAATAGAATTAAAGATGCTTGGCTCAGCAATAGCGATTTACTAAAGGCTCTGCCAGTTCCCATACAATAGCTATACTTAACCAATGAGCTCCTAAATCCCTTCATTGAAGCATCCGTGGCCTGTTGGACAATTGTCAGAAGTCATTTGGTTCTAGCACGTTTTAAAGAGTCACACTGGCCTATTCCACCACGCGCCTGATTACTCGCACTTAACTCTGAATCTCTGACACAGGTAATCAGACTTTCTTTACTAACTCATCCATTGCTTTTCCTTGTAGGACAAGGAAGAGCCCGAAACCACTGCAGATACCGCAGAGGACTCTAATCATGATCCCCAGTTCGAGCCCATTGTGTCCCTTCCTGAGCAGGATGTGAAAACATTAGAAGAGGATGAGGAGGAACTCTTTAAAATGTAAGTCTGTAGTCTTATTCAAAGACCCCACAAGTTATTTATATATACTTTTTGCACTACTTTTTATTTTGTATTTTATTATATATGTTGCTGTTGGAAGAGCTCAGGTCATAAAATGTTCAATGCCATTTCCACACTGTAGCTTTGTGCATAAAACCTTTGAATCTTATTTGTTTTAATTTAAACGATGTGATATTTGCTGAACAACTAGTAAGCCAGTTTACCTTCGTGTTCCCAGGCGGGCTAAACTATATCGTTTTGCCTCTGAGAACGAGCCCGCAGAGTGGAAGGAGAGGGGAACCGGCGACGTGAAGCTGCTGAAACACAGAGAGAAGGGAACGATCCGCCTCCTGATGAGGAGAGATCGAACCTTGAAGATCTGTGCCAACCATAACAGTGAGTCAATTTGATCAATATAAGTTATATTGCAATTTTATATCGCAACACCAAAGAAATTACAAAGAGAGGCGGGAATAACTTGTATCAACTGACAATAAATACATGTCAAACTAAAGTATGTTCGCTATACAGCAGCGGTTCCCAACCTTTTTCAACTAAGGGCCCACTTAAGAATCTACATTATTTTTCGTGGCCCACATTCAACCATAAACAATACGGAGGCTAAATAAAGTTCTGATTGGTCAATTCGGAACATGTGGCACGTTGTAAATCCAGTAGAACAGACCGCTGTGAAGGACTGTAATGACCGTTGCTAAGGAGGATCAAGAAAGGAAAAGAGGTTCAAATAAAAAATACAAAAAACCGGCTCGAGATACACTTTTTGTTATATTCCATGGAATGCTCTTAACATCCCGATAGCAATGAATATCTGAAGTGCTTTGACAAAAAATGTCATCTGTGGAAGCCGTAGTGCTGTAAAAAGCACGACCAATCATCTGAGCCGGCCCGGCTAAAGTAACTGGATGGCCTACCTGCCTGTCAGCCTTCCATCTGTGCACAAACTTATCTCGTGCCCTCATTGGTCATGTGCGCGTTCGTGTGTGTTGGAGGAGGGGCTCTGTGAGGAAGTAGCAGATTTTTCCCGGCTGTGTATTTTCAAATTCTAGCGCACTTGAGCTGGATTCTCCAAAATGACCTACCCCACCTTTAATAAAGAAATGTTTCCATACAAATCAGAATGTTTTTGCAAATGATTTGGCGGCCCACAGGTTGGGAACCGCTGCTATATAGTGTATATAGCAAAATATAGTGTATACACAAAACGTGTGCATATTTCTATTTGAGTTCCTTTCACACTAAAGCCTTCTAAGCACATATGTAGGAACTCGCACTACTAAGAAGTCTGTATGGATTTGCAATTTCAGCACATTATTTAATTTACATGAATTTCACATATAGTCAATCAATCAATCAATGTTTATTTATATAGCCCAATATCACAAATGTTACATTTGTCTCAGTGGACTTTACAGTTTGTACAAAATATCAGTATGACAATACGACACCCTCTGTCCTTAGACCCTCACATCGTACAAGGAAAAACTTCCGGAGAAAACCCACAGTTTAAAGGGAAAAATGGGAGAAACCTCAGGGAGAGCAACAGAGGAGGGATCCCTCTCCCAGGACGGACAGACGTGCAATAGATGCCGTGTGTAAATTGAAAAGATAATACATTTGCAACATAGGTAGTCCAAATATTTGGAAATGCATGTGTGTATAATAGGAAGATGAATCCACGAGGATATCCATCCAGGACCTATGATCCAGGACCACAGCCACGACTCAAGATCCAGGGCTCGCGATCCAGGACAGAGGAGCGCAGGATCATCCATGACTCCGGATCCCGGCGTATATAGACACCAAAAAGAAAGACATTTGGGGAAGCTGGGTTAATCGGAACATGAGAGTACACAGGTATAGACAGAGAGAAGGAAGAAGTAAGATGTCCCCCCGACAAACTAAGCCTATATCAGCAAAACTAGGGGCTGGATCTAATCAGCCCTAACTATAAGCTTTATCAAAAAGGAAGGTCTTAAGCGCACTCTTAAAAACGGATAGGGTGTCTGCCGCCCCGAACACAAACTGGAAGCTGATTCCACAAATGTGGAGCTTGATAAGAAAAGGCTCTGGCTCCCATTGTACTTTTAGAGACTCTAGGAACAACCAACAACCCTGCATTCTTGGAACGCAATGCCCTAGTAGGACAGTAGGGTATAATGAGTTCTTTAAGGTAAGATGGCGCCTGCCCATTAAGGGCTTTGTAGGCGAGAAGAAGAATTTTAAATTCTATCCTGTGTTCTATAGGGAGCCAGTGTAAGGCAGCCAGAACAGGAGTAATGTGGTCCCTTTTCCTAACTCTGGTTAGTACACGAGCCGCATTTTGAATCAGCTGAAGCGACTTGACTGACTTCTTGGTACACCCTGATAATAAAGAGTTACAATAATCCAGCCTTGAAGTAACAAATGCATGGACTAGTTTCTCTGCATCGTTTTGAGGCAAGATATGCCTGATTTTTGCAATGTTACGTAGATGGAAGTAGGCGGTCCTTGAAATTGATTTTATGTGGGCGTTAAAGGATAAATCCTGATCAAATATAACACCAAGATTCCTTACAGTCTCACTGGAGGCCAAATTAATGCCATCCATAGTTAGTATATCCTTAGATAATTTGTTTCGTAGATTCTTCGGGCCAAGTACAATAACTTCAGTTTTGGTCGTGTTTAACATCAAAAAGTTTAAGGTCATCCACGTTTTTAAGTCCTTAAGGCAGTCTTGAATTTTATTTAGATGATTAATTTCATCAGGCTTGATTGATAAATATAGTTGAGTATCATCCGCATAACAATGAAAGTTTACAGAATGATTCCTTATAATATTGCCTAACGGAAGCATATATAATGTGAACAAAATAGGTCCGAGCACTGAGCCCTGTGGCACTCCATGGCTAACTTTGGTTTGCGTGGAAGATTCATCATTGACACGTACAAACTGAGAGCGTTCAGATAGATAGGACCTAAACCAGTCTAAAGCAGTTCCCTGTATGCCAACTAAGTGCTCTAGTCTTTGCAATAGGATATCATGGTCGATAGTATCAAATGCAGCACTGAGATCGAGCAAAACAAGAATAGAGACACGTCCCTTGTCAGAGGCTATTAGAATGTCATTTGTGACTTTAACCAGAGCTGTCTCTGTGCTATGATGTGTTCTAAAGCCAGACTGAAAAGCTTCAAATAAATCATTGTTTTTTAAGTAATCACACAACTGTTTTGCGACCGCTTTCTCAAGAATTTTTGAGAGGAACGGAAGATTAGAAATAGGTCTATAGTTGGCTAAAACCTCTGGATCGAGGTTGTGCTTTTTAAGAAGCGGTTTTATCACTGCTACTTTGAATGATTGTGGAACATAGCCTGATAATAAAGACATATTCATAATATTTAATAAATAAGTGCTAATTAATGGAAAAACTTCCTTCAACAGCTTAGTTGGAATTGGGTCTAACATGCACGTTGATGGTTTAGAAGAGAGAATCATTGAATTTAATTGTTCAAGGTTTATGGCTGAAAAGCATTCTAGTTTACTATCTAGTGTAATATTAGAACTTACGTTTCCGGGAGCTGTTGATAACACTATACTGGTCAAAGGCAAGAGGTCATTAATATTGTTTCTAAGAGTAACAATTTTATCGTTAAAAAAGCACATAAAATCATTACTACTGAGTGCTATGGGAATAGAAGGCTCAATCGAGCTGTGGCTCTCTGTCAGCCTGGCTACAGTGCTGAAAAGAAATCTTGCATTATTCTTATTCTCATCTATTAATGAAGAGTAGTAGGCTGCTCTCGCTTTACGCAGTGCTTTCTTATATTCATTGAGAGTAATATGCCAAATTAAACGAGATTCTTCAAGTTTAGTAGAACGCCATATCCTTTCAAGTTGTCTCGACTTTTGCTTTATTTTGCGGGTTTCGGCATATAGTGCCCTTTCAATGTTTGCTAATAGGGATTGAAAGCGTTAATGTTGGAGCCATAGTGTGTATGTGTGTGTGTGTGTGTTTCTCTGAATGGTAACAGAAGAAGCAATGTGGATACAATCAATATGGTGAATATATGGCACACAAAATAAAGGATACTCAAGGATATACGAATCACATGGACGTTGTTTTATCGTCTGCAACAAAGTTCTCCCATCCCTCAGTGGCTTAAGTATAGATTAGGTTAAAAAGTCACTCCAGTTAACCTTATTCTCCCTCTTGTGACCTGCAGTTACGCCGGCCATGGACCTGAGGCCCAACGCTGGCAGTGACCGGGCGTGGGTCTGGAACACACTAGCAGATTATGCTGACGAAAGCCCCAAACCTGAATACCTGGCAATACGCTTTTTAAATGCAGAGAGTAAGTATTTATACATTGAATCCAGTGAAGTGAAAAAACTGTCCATTCTCTGCGTCGAACTCCGTCATACAGCAGCCCTTTGAACACACTCTCACTCTCATACAGCAGCCCTTTGATGTGAACACACTCTCTCCGTCATACAGCAGCCCTTTGATGTGAACACACTCTCACTCTCCGTCATACAGCAGCCCTTTGATGTGAACACACTCTCACTCTCTCTGTCATACAGAAGCCCTTTGATGTGAACACACTCTCACTCTCTGTCATACAGAAGCCCTTTGATGTGAACACACTCTCACTCTCTCTGTCATACAGCAGCCCTTTGATGTGAACACAATCTCACTCTCTCCATCATACAGCATCCCTTTGATGTGAACACACTCTCACTCTCTCCGTCATACAGCAGCCCTTTGATGTGAACACACTCTCACTCTCCGTCATACAGCAGCCCTTTGATGTGAACACACTCACTCTCCGTCATACAGCAGCCCTTTGATGTGAACACACTCTCACTCTCTCCGTCATACAGCATCCCTTTGATGTGAACACACACTCACTCTCTCGTCATACAGCAGCCCTTTGATGTGAACACACTCTCACACTCCGTCATACAGCAGCCCTTTGATGTGAACACACTCACTCTCCGTCATACAGCAGCCCTTTGATGTGAACACTCTCACTCTCCGTCATACAGCAGCCCTTTGATGTGAACACACACTCACTCTCGTCATACAGCAGCCCTTTGATGTGAACACTCTCACTCTCCGTCATACAGCAGCCCTTTGATGTGAACACACACTCACTCTCGTCATACAGCAGCCCTTTGATGTGAACACACTCTCACTCTCTCCGTTGTGTTTGCAGATGCTCAGAAGTTCAAGGTGAAGTTTGAGGAGTGCCAGGCGGAGGTCAGAAAAAGTCTAGCCGACACAGGTACATAAAACAAATGTCTTATCCAGAATATGCTTAGATGTAATGTTTCTCAACAAATGTGGAAGTGTGTGTGTGTGACCATCGCTTTTACAATTGAGTCATTTCAAATGTGTAAATAGTTTACTAAGATGTGTAAGGTGGTAGCATGACATTATTTTCATGACTCAAACACACTGAGGGTTTGATGTTGGAGTTTAGACTTGTTTATATTCAATTCAAACTAGGGCTGCTCGATTATGGCAAAAATCATAATCTCGATTATTTGGGTCAATAATTGTAATTGCGATTATTCATTGACTTTGAAAACATCCATTAATTGGAGAGAGAAAAATGAACAGTATGTTTTTAACAGTTGATTACCCTGAACTTTAAGTATAATTCTACTGAAAAACCAAAAACATAATAGTCGTTTTATTTCGATTACGTTGTTTTCGTAATTGTTGCAAGCCGTAATCGCGATTTAAAATACGATTAATTGAGCAGCCCTAATTCAAAGTAGGTGTAACATTATGTAAACCTGACACAAACAGTAAGGACATTTGTGTTGGGTAGGTGATTTCTTTGTTGCAGCAAAAACATCTTATACCGTTGGAAAGCCTGTTAATTTACAAATGGTGCCCCAAATGCATGTCCCTCATAAACGTGGCACCATTTAAAAAGGTAAATAGACTTTTTGTGTTAAGATTGACAGGGATGCAGACTCACTCTGTTCTTTGCTGTTCACTCCGGCCTAGAACTTTTTTCTGACTGCTAGATAACCGCGCAGAACGTAGTACTCTACCTGCTTTCTGATAAGCTGGTGTCAGTACGTTCTGCTACATTACTATCCAGATTCATCACCAGTTATCTGATCGTATGTTATCAAGGTGTCCGCGGGGTCTTAAAAAGTATTAAACGGCATTTTCCAAGGTATTACATTTTGTAGCTTGTTTTCAATAAGTATATAAATGGTCCAAAGAGGTTGGTCTCTACAGTCTGCCTGAATGTAATCATGGCGTAGGTGTGTATTGTGATTCTGTGTAGTTTATTTATGGCATCCCGTTGGGTTTGACGTCATCTGAACAGGACATCGCGCGCTCACTGCTTGATAGCGCGCGAAGGTCCGTTTACGCCGGTTGCTAAACAACATCGTTATGGGGAAATGCAAGTCTGCGTCCAAATGGTTGGAAGATAAGGAGGAAGGACAATCAATACTGTATATAGTCAATGTGAGGTAAAGTGTGTCGCCAAGGTAACCGGTTAAAACTCAAAATGGCGATGAGGTCTTAAAATGTATGGAAAGGGTCTTAAAAGGTCTGACTTCAGGATTCCTGCATAGACCCTGCTTATGTTCTTGATAGTAATGTAAGATACAAAGTTTAAATATTAGCATTGTTTTGAGTTGTGTTCAAAACGTTCACAAATAATTGACAGCATGTTTCACTGTTTTGTCCGCAGACGACACCGATAGCGCGAACAAAGTGGCAGAGAAGCTGGAGGAACTCTCCGTCAAAGAAAAGGCATCAGAAGAAAACAAGACGGAGGTCAAAAAGGAGGTGGAGGTGGTGAAGAAGGAGGAGGAGGTGAAGAAGAAGGAGGTGAAGGAGGAGGAGAAGAATTGAGAACCAAGAACTTGCTTTGCTGATCTTCAACTTATCAGTCTTTCCTCTTTTTTCTACAATAGACTCTAAATGAACTGAATTTGGACACTTGCATATTGTTAGTATTTTTTTTTATTATCTGTTTTGCCTCAAAATCACGAGTCATCGATGCCACTGGGGGGGGGGGGGGGGTACCAGATAGTGAATTTGAGAAAAATAAAAAGCCCATTCCTTGCACCTTGGACTGCCACGCTGTCCTTCCTCGCCATCTACAGTTAAATGTTACGAACTGTGAAGCGGGCTTGTGACCGTGACATTCCTACATTGGGGTCTTTTTTTGTTTTGTTATTCTGAAGCAGTGGGGGAGAAGAGAATGTAGGTCAGGGACCAGGCATTATAGAGGTGCATTATACCTGTAAAATCCCATAATGCATCAGTGAGCCATCTTAACCCTGTCCACTGTCAATGCGTCCACTGTGAGAGTCAGCAAGTGAGGAGGAAAGACATCTCAGTGGACGCCTTGCAGCAGTACTTTCCGGTTCCTTCTTTCATCAGTACTGATCGAAGGGGAATCCACTCCAGACATTCGAGGGGCATCAGATGCAGAATACATTTATTTTCTTTTTTTGTGTTATAATTATCTTAAAATGTCCAAACGGTTCATCGTCAGAGTGGCGGCGCTCTGACTTAAGTTCTTCACCAGGAAAATTGAGTTTCTATTTAGATCATAACATTCCCAGACTGTAAGCATGTAGAGAATATGTAACCGAGTGCCCTTTCTGATCTGTGCACACCACCGTCTCCTTTTCTTTCCACTAATGGAGTTCATAACCTCGCCTCTATAAAGTGCCAGTGCATCTGTAAATACATGGTTGAAATGTTGCCTTTCATTTGCACTCAAATGATTTGAAATGTTTCCGCTACCTTCGAATAAAAACCGTCTTAAGACCACCTTTGCCTTTTTGTATAAAGATCCCTCGCTTCCTGGGATAGATAATGTGCTAAGAAATACATACAAGTACAAAGCTATATGCTAAGAAATATAGTTTTAACCCTTGTGTTGTGTTCGAAAGCTGTTACCGTTCATGGTGTTTTATCTCAGTCCAAAACACACAAAAAATGACTCATCCAATATTGTTTTAACTACATCATAACTAACTTATTATGCATTCATAATCGAACAATCCTGTTATTGTATGGCCCAAAAACACATTACACCACATATTGTGCATGTGTGTGTTCAGGTTCAAATGTTAAGTGTACATAGTTTGTGGAAGGTGGAGTTCCCATGGGGGGAGGGGAGACCAGGTGCATGTTGCGAAAAATTGTTACGGGGGGGGGGGGAGGGGCGTCTAAAGTCAAAGATGAATCTTGATTGGGCCAAATTTGACCCCTGGTGACACAACACCAAATTATACACTTTCTTTTTTTAGAGACCTTCAGACTTGGCTAAAAGCCAGTTTTGTGATGTTTATAAAGCTGTGGTGGAGGATATCATGAAGCCTTGTTGAGCGTAGAGCGTAGTTATTATATCATTTGAACTTGAAACGGGAGACCCGAACACAACATAAGGGTTAAAGGAGTAAATGGCATTCTCTTATAAAGTCAATGTAATTATTATTTGAACAGACTATACAAGAAATAACAATGCTGTGCAGATTATTAATTCACAAGAATCAATCACTCCAAGAGTTGGACATTTTTATTTACTCTGCTCATTGGGAAATATTTCCTCTTCACAAAAATAGGAACGCATTTACATTTATAGTATATTCTATATTTTAATACATAACGATCTTTCTATTTGAGCTTCAGAAAACACATCAGCTCGCGGCTGATAAATGAAACATGACTTTTTTCTGACTGTCAGGAATGCTCCCTGACCTGCAGCGATGTCCATCCCCAAATAAAAGAACGTTGGACTAATGGCAGTCATCTTAAAGAGGAATGACATCGATCGTGTTTCGATATGTGTTCGTGATAGACTCTTATTTTCAGGTATTTCATTAGGATCCAGTTTGTTGTTTCACCGACAAAAAAACCATCAGATCTCCCCAAAAAGCATCCTTTCAAACTTCAGCCTCACAACAATTCAAAAATACATGACTGATATAGATTATTATCCTGTTGGTCAACATTACTGTGTTCATGGTAAGGCAGCTGGGTGAGACCTTAGTAGGGGGAACACTCACTACCTCAGTTATTGACCTTTGCACCCTGATCTCTGGACAAAGGAAAGGATGAATGCACCAGAAACGGGAAGAGAAAAATATTCTTGAAAAAGTGATTACATTTCCTCACTAATTACCGTGCACATCCTCCAGAACCATCCGCTCTTAAAGGGACAGTACACCCCCAAATTCATATGTTCATTTTACCTGTAGTGCTATTTATCAATTTAGATTGTCTTGCTTGTCCAAGTGAGAAATGGCTGTGAAAATATCTGCCTTCTCTCGCATGTAAATCCAAACCATCTTAATTGATAAATAGCATAACAAGTAAGAGGATATTAATTAATATTTTAGATTTTGTGCTGAACTGTCCCTTTAAATGTTACCCAGTCTTACTTCTCCATTTACTGCTTGATACATAACACTAACGGTAATTCATTGCCCCATAGTGTACACTAGTTTCAACCAGCAATGCGTTATCTTCTCAAAAGGCAACAATGGTTTATTTGTCATGCAAATTGCAGTCGGACCAAATCCACCACTTCCAACATCCATGTCAATTCTGGCTTATTCTTTCATATTCAGTTCATGCAAATTAAAACCTTCCACTTACATAATACTAGTCTGTTTAATGGTCAAAATTAATAAAACATTTTAGACTTTAAAGCAACACAAGAGAAAGGTTTTGCATCTCCGAGTGGCAGGAGATACTGGAGCTGTACCAGACAGCTGCTGCAAATTCATTTGACATTTTCCGTCTTCCTGATGTCACCCATTCACCGTCTTTGAGAAAGGAAGGGGGTGTGTAGTCACGTTTTGGCACTGAAATCCCAAGGCATCTTCAATGAAAAGCCCAACATGTGCACACATTTCCCTTCCTCACATCACTTATCCTGTAATAACATGTCATCATCCTTTCTTATACACTTCAAGGCAGAACATTGACTTTTCCTCTTATAATGACTTCATTTATTTACTGAATTTATAATTTATTAAGAAAAAAAACTCCACTCAAAATAAAAACATCCATTCCAGGCTTAGTAAAGCGTATAAAAAAGATGTATCAAACATAGCTTTTGAAAGGTTGGCTATGTAAAAATGAAACAAACCCATTTAAAAAAAAAATAGAGACAGAATAATGAATGAGCAACCAGTTATCTTCATTTCACTACACGGGACGATGGCGTGTACACCGCTTTCCATTCCTATGATTATAACATAAACAACTAACTAAACACCATTTCTTGTTTTTTCTTCAGACAGAAAACAGAAAGTCTTTTTGGTTGTGCAAGGCTGGACTCGTTCTGACTCTTGTGATGAGGTAATGTTATCTTTCAGAACAGAATCTATCCGTCCTGCACTCGTGTCGTGTTGAAATCACCCGACTGAACTCCACTAAAGCAGAGGCCGATGTGCTGCACCTTTAAGAAGGGAATACAATGGGCTAGTATAATCAAACCCTATCATGTAGCATCTCTGCTGGTTCAGTCCTGAGAAACTTATTTGTGATGAAATGAACCATGTAAGGAATTAAATGCAACGAGCCATGATATATGAGACACATTATCCAGCTTACTACACGGTTGCTCACTAAATAAATCAACAATTTCACTCACACTAGATATTATTTTCTTGTTTTTGTTGTCTTGTCTTTACGTGGAACAATTTGGCCATCATGGATCCAAAGTTGTGTGCTAACCAAAACATATCAAATGTAATATTCAAATAGTATTCGACAGGGTTTTTCTGAAGGAGGGACACTAATGTTTTTGTTGTTGCAACAACTGACGTAAAATTGACCGGGCTTCTTCCCGCAGATGAATACGACTGCATAGTCCCTTCATCAGAGCAGCAGTCTGCTATCGAAAAAGAACAGACTGTTGAATGTCCAAATTGACCAATCAGAATCAAGTATTCAACTTAGCTGTGTCATCAAGAGTGGCGCAGGAATGAGTCCTAAAACACGGAAATTAGTTAATTTTAAAACGTCCTGGTCTCCAAGTTAGCCATTTTGAAAGCGTTTTTGGATTGATCGCTGAAATAAGGTCTGTCGTCAACACAAGCTGAAGAGACGTTCACAACATAAAATGCATCAGTAAATACCCCCTGCAGATGTCAACAAGTGGCGATATAAACTACTAAACGTAATCTTGCGTCAACCTTTAGCTTAGCACAGGTAATGCACAGCCATATGATCGTCAAGTGGTGTTAATATGTGGCGATTACCCTGCTAAACAACTCGTGTAAAGTATCATAAATGTGTGTTTGGGACCCCTTGCGATGCTAACTTCTGGGTTAGCCAACAACATATGTCATCACTGCACCACTCTATACGCTAAATCTCAATGGATTTAGATTGCAACTACCAGACATGATATGATACGACTTCCCTTTCTCGATATCCCCCCTTTCTGAGATATTCATCACTTGTGTTGCCTCTCTATGCATGAGGTGCTGATCTAAATGACCCCTCCTCCATCACTTCTCAAATACTAATACTCTGGAGAAGGCATGAAAAGTACAAAGTGTTTTCTCACAGAGCTCCATGGTCGGGATGTCGGTGTTGAATCGTCGGTTTTTGTTCAGCCTTCAGCAAAGTTTGTGAGACATTCGGGTCAACATTCGCTCCATGACCACAGCTCAGAGACAACAGTAATAACATTAACAGTCCACTTTTAACCACCAAGATGATGCGCCACAAAATTAACAACAAAACACTCCTTACACACACTGTATCTGACAAACAACCAAATCTCTTTGCAGCGGGGGCGGTCGTTGGAGGTGGATCGTCTCACACTGATATCTCATACGTGGTGCCTCCTACACCCGTCACCTTTTTGACATTACTGTGACGGCTGGGGCTCAGGGTGGGACAGTCCATCTGCCCGTTTACTTTCATGGCCTCTCTGAGTGGGAAGAGAAGAGCGAGGACAATGATTTAACACAAGAAAATAACGAGATTCAACACAAACCAAACCAGTAAGGGTCGTAGCAACATGCAGGTTAGTTCAGGCGTTCTGGACAGTTTCATATGGAAACAGAGGAGAGGAGATGCATAGGCAGTTGGTAAGATAAAGGGCTGGGCAATATAGCATTCGTATGAGGCTAGATATTGTGTTAGATTTTGGATAGTGTCGAAAGTGTTTGTTTTAATAATAATAATAGATTTAATTTGTTAGCGCTTTTACAGGTGCTCAAAGACGCTTTACAGATATAGTGACGTTTTAGCAAACTTTGTAGCAGCTTAGTCATGATATCCACATTACTGATGATTGTTTGTTAAATATCTCATTGTGTAAATATTTATAAAAGCCATACAATATCGTCACACTATCTATATTGGGGTATTTGTTAAAATATATTGTAATGTTTTAAATAATCCATATCGCCCAGCCCTAGTTGGAAGTGTTCTTGTTAGTGAGACTTGGAGGTGTTAGATGAAATAAATACAAAGCATGCAAAACAAAAAGAAACGAGTAGTTACACAGCTTTATTAACTTGTGAAATAATACAAAAATTGATATTTTAACTAGAAAGGCGAACATATAAATTCCCAAAATATATGTAAGAATACACGCCAGACCGTTTTAAACATGAATAAATGGACATAACAGTTAGACAAACACCGTATTCAAACGCTACACATTGCCTCGGTTAGGACTAGTGCTCTAGTGCCCCTCAATCTGTGTGTGTCCAGCAGGAGGAGCAGGGTCTCCATGGGAACACATTCAAAGCATGCAGTCCCTCAGGGGGGGGACGTTAGGTTTCATACCTTGGGCCCCCCAGACGAGGGGAGTCTGTCCTCTCTAGGGCACTGATGTAGGAGAGTTTTTGGTGGGAGTAGGAGGGGGATCGGGGCATGGCGGGGGAGTGGGGTTGGTGGGCCGGGGAGCGGTAGAGACCCTCGGGGGGGCCGGCCCTGCTCTGGCTGCTGTTGCTGCTACTATGATCCGTGTGGAGGGAGGTGGAGGAAGTCCTGGGGGCGCGGCCCAGCGTGGAGCGTAACACTGGGGCTCGCTGCCCATAACTCACCAGCCCGACCCCCATCAGGTTGTCCCGGGACCCTCCGTAGGCGGGGGGTGTGGGGCCTCTGGAGACGGAGCCACGAGGCCCGTCCGGGTAGCAAACACTCGGGGGTAAACTGTAACCCCCGTCAAACACGCCAGAGTCCTGGGCGTAGATGTGGGTCTGAGAGCGCCCGTGAATAATCTGCCGCTTCTCCCGCTCCTCCATGTCCTTCCGCTCCTGGATGGAGGCCATGATGGTCTGGGAGAGGTTGTCATAGCGCACGGGGGATGGGTCGCGGTCCCGCAGGTGAGGGGAGGGCTGCCGGCCCACCGCTCTTTGGTGCATCACCGGACTGTAGGCGGAGGAAACCTGGTGCCTCTGCATGTCCGTTTCCCGGATGTGGCACATTTTGGTGGGCAGGTAGGGCGAGTGGAAGCCGCTGGAGGGGATCCCGCGGTGGGACGCGCAGTCGCTGGGGGGGGGCCGCTGGAGAGATGCTGGGGTTCAGCAGGCTGTCGTAGGAGAGGCTGCCGTTACGGTTGGACAGCGTGTTGGGGGAGAAGACGCTCTTGTATGGGGTGGAGGTGAGGGTCTGCGGCTGACCCTGCTTCAGGCTGAGGGAGCGGGAGGTCAGGGGGTCGGAGTCCAGCTGGTGGGGGGAGGACTGGAAGGTGCGGTGGAGCGGGGCGTTGGTGTACTCCGGCAGGTCCAGGTTCGGCTCGGATCGGTAGTCGTGACCGCGGACGCCCTCTTCCAAGATGGCCGAGGTCTTCCGCTCATCTGTCATG